ATCCTGCCCCAGTTATCTCCATTGAGGAAACTGCCCAGGGCAGGGTTCTGAGACCAGGCAGTCGGCCAGCATCCAGTTCCCCGTTTGAGTGAACAGCTAGCTGCCCCCACATCCAAGTTCCCCTCTGAGTGGACAGCTAGCGGCCTTCACATTCCAGTTCTCCATCTGAGCAGAGAGACAGCCTCTGCCCTCCAGCTCCTCAGCACCACAGCACTCTGGGGCAGAGGAAGACCTCACAAGCACAGGCCCCAAACTCGGATTGCTCTAAAGGAAACCAAAGTTCAGTTTCCTTTCCTTCCTCCCCTCTCCCTTCCTTCCCATCTTCCTAGACATGGTCTCCTGTATCCCAGTCTGGCCTGGAATTCTCTATGGCACTGAGGATAGCCTTGAACCTCTGCCGGCCTCCTGGGCTAGAACCACAGGCATGCATGACCATGCAGGTTCATGTGCCACTGAGAATTGAACCCCGGGCTCTGTGCACGCTGGGCAAGAGTCCTACCCCCCAGTCTTCCTCCAGCACCCCCGCTGCTTTCTGTACAGAGCAACGATATGACCTGGGCATAGTGATTGGCACCTGCAACCCAGCACTCAGGAGGCCAAGTTCAAGACCAGCCTGGGTTACATAGTATATTGGAGGCCAACCTAGGCTACACAGAAAGACCCTGTCTCAAAGAAAATAAAACAATCAAATTAAAAACTGCTGGTTGGTGGTGGAGCATGCCTTTAATCCCAGCACTTGGAAGGCCGAGGCAGGAGGACCTCTGAGTTTGAGGTCAGCCTGGTCCATAGAGAGAGTTCCAGGACAGTCAGGGTTGCTACACAGAGAAACTTGGTCTTGAAGAACAAAACCAAAAAGAAAAAAAAAGAAGAAAATTTAAAAAATAGCAACAATAGCTTGCTTTTTTTCCTCTTTTCAGCTTCCATTTCTGTGCCAAGCCTAACCCAGCCTTGTAGAGCAGAGCTCTCGGCCTTCCGAGGGCTGCAACCCTTTAACACACTTCCATGAAATCCTTTCATTGCTACTTCATAATGTAAGACTTTAAGACAATTCTGAAGCCATTTCTGACAATTCTGAATCCTCTCAGCCTCCGTGCCATAGTGCTTCCCCTCCTCCCCTGGGAACCAAGGACTTAACAGCTACACATGCACGTACTCAGTTCCTGAACAATTACCCATATACGTATGTTTTGATTCAGTCCCCTGGGAAACGGGTCAAAATGACCTCTTACCTCATCTGATCTGGCAACCACTCTCCAGCCAATTATTGGTAATAGCCCTTTTGAATAAGCCAATCATAATAGTCAAAGAACTACCCCCCTTGCTTCTGTGGCCTTCTCCTTTAAAAGTAGCCTATGCCATCATATTCGAGGTCTCTCGGCTTCCCGAATGCTGAGGGACCCTGTCATGACAGAATCAATAAAATCCTCATGCTTTTGCATCGGCTGTGGTGTGTGAGGTGGTCTTTGGGGGTGACTCCTCCTCGGTGTTTGGATGCTAGAGTCCAACAATAACCGTCATCTTGCTACCATCTATTATGAGCTATAACGTAAATATTCAATATTTCCAATGATCTTAGGTAACCCCTGTTCATGACCCACAAGTTGAGAACCTCTGCTTTAGAGCCTGGAAGCCCTTGCCAACCAGGAGGGAGAGGAGACTGTGTCTCATAAAGCCTGGCCTCACCCAGGCCTCTCTGCCTCCAGCTCTGTCCCCACCTCCTGCCCCAGCAGAGGGGGCTGGTACAAGGGAAGTGTCCCTCAGTGCTCAGTATCCGCAGAGGGGTCCCGCAGTACCCTGGATTCCAGTCTCCACGAAGGCGTTGACAACATCCTCTGCTTTCATCCGGACGACCCACCTGCTGGGGGAGTACTGCTTCTCCAGCTCCTGTGGGCAAGACGGGGCTTGTGAGACGCCCACTCTCAGCTGGGCATGTCGACACACCCCACCCCCCGACAGACGTTCCCCTCAGCTCTTCTGCCCTGAAAAGATCCTCTGTAATATGCTCAGCTTCCTCCAAGTCTTTTCTTTTCGTTTTTTGGTTTTTCAAGACAAGGTTTCTCTGTAGCTTTGGAGCCTGTCTTGGAACTTGCTCCAGTAGACCAGGTTGGCCTCGAACTCACAGAGATTCGCCTGCCTCTGCCTCCAGAGGGCTGGGATTAAAGGCGTGCTCCACCACCGCCTGGCTCTTCAAGTCTTTTCAGCTTCTACTCCCCACGCCCTCCACCTGCTGTCCCCAATTAGGTATTTCAGAGGAGCACCTAAGGTGCCCTTAGGTTCGTGATAAAGGGGCACCCCGAAGGCAGCCATGCCTTTAGCCAGCTAACAGCCTTAATGAGAGATGAGGTCTATAAAGGTGTTCAGTTAACAACACTGGGGAGCGGCACAGTCCTGCAGAAACTGCAGAAACTGAGGCCAAGCAGCTCCGTGGCCATTGGTTCTGGGGTCAAATGGCACGACTCCATTTTCCTGGGAGGACAGTGTTCTGATGACAGGTAGACACAGGGTCACAGGGACAGAGGTGAGTGGGAGAGAAGAAACCAAAGGTCAGTTTGCAAATAACTAACCAGCCAGATGGCTAAACATGGGGTGTGGGGAGGCTAGGCAGCTGGGGGACCACAGTGGAGGGCTAGGCAGCCGGGGCATGGTGATGCTCACCTGTAATCCCAGCACTGTGGAGGCAGAGGCGGGAGGAGCAATGCAACTTTGAGGATAGCCTACAACTAGCAAGTTCCCGGGTAGCCAGGACCTGGCCTATAAATAGTAAAAAGAAGGGATGTGGATCAGTGGCAGCACCATGAGTTAACACAGGGAGTAAGGAGGAGACTGATCCCAGCTAAAGGACCCTGAGCCAACACCATGGGGCTCTATTTGGAAGACAGTGTGCTGGGGCTGACCCTCGTCAGCTTTCATTGCTTACTGGCTGTCTCTAGTCTCGGTATCCTCATCGGTATAACGGGGATCAGCACCCCCATTACAGGGCTAAGAGGGAGAAGGTAGAGAATAAGAGAAATAACATTGACCACTCAAACACAGTGGCCTCCTCCTGTTGAGTGGCACTCATGGTCAGAGGTCTTCTGAGCTGTAGAACCCTCTCATTCAGGTCGATACCCGTTGGATGTTAGGGCTCCACTTGGCACCCCAACTATTATCATCTTTATATGTAGCCGGAGCTGGCCTTGAACTCCTATCTTCTGACTCGACCTCCCAAGTGTGAGATTATACCCACATGCCAAAATCTTTTTTTTTTATTTTTAAATCAGTGTTATATATGTGTGTATGTGTGTGAATGTATGTATGTGTGTGTGTGTGTGTGTGTGTGTGAATGTGTATGTGTGTGGTATGTGTACATGACTGCAGGTTTCTCAGAGCAGCCTCCTGGAGCTGGAAGTTGTGAGCCATCTGATGTGGATGCTGGGAGTCTGACTCAGGTCCTCAGGAAGAGCAGGGCATACTGAGTATCTCTCTAGCCCCTTGCTGTCATTTTTACTACTAGTATTTATGACTAATACTATTTATCTGTTTGTTTTGTTTTTTGTTTTCTTTTTGTTTGTTTGTTTTCAAGACAGGGTTTATCTGTGTGCCCCTGGATCTTGCTCTGTGGTCCAGGCTGTCCTTGAATTCACTGAGATCCTGCCAGCCTCACTGCCTCTCCAGTGCTGGGATTAACAGTGTGCGCCACCACCGCCCGACTGTTTTGTTTTTTCAAGACAGGATTTCTGTGTAGCCCTGGTTGACCTGGAACTTGCTTTGTACACCAGGTTGACCTCCAACATAGAGATTAATCTGCCTCTGCCTGGGATCAAAGGTGTGGGCACCACGGGGCTGACAGATAGTTGTGAGAAGGGCAACAAACAGTGTCCCTAACTTTCAACAGATTCTGAGATGACTGTGACCCAAACAAAAACTTTGTTTAAATAATACACCCTAACCAGTCAAGAAATCATAACGGAATAGGAATTATCGAATGCCAAAATGTGCCGTCATGTTTTGTGTATGCAATTAGTAACTCTTGCAATAATCCAGGGTAACCAAACACAAACACAGTGCAAAGAACGCTTCTAGTGGCTGGAGAGATGGCTCAGCAGTTAAGAGGACTGACTCTTCTTCCAGAGGTCCTGAGTTCAATTCCCAGCAACCACATGGTGGCTCACAACCATCTACAATTTGATCTGGTGCCCTCTTCAGGGGTACAGGTACACATGCAGGCAGAGTATTGTATTCATAATAAATAAATAATTTTTTTTTTTTTTGGTTTTTCGAGACAGGGTTTCTCTGTGGCTTTGGAGCCTGTCCTGGAACTAGCTCTGTAGACCAGGCTGGTCTCGAACTCACAGAGATCTGCCTGCCTCTGTCTCCCGAGTGCTGGGATTAAAGGCGTGCGCCACCATCGCCCGGCAAATAAATAAATCTTAAAAAAAAAAAAAGCTTCTAGGCATGCTAAGTGAGCCACAAAGACTTTTAGCTGAAATTAAAGGAATATTCTGAAGACGCTTAATACTGTCTGTCCCTGAAGATGCCTGTCTTGCTAGCGACTCACAGTAAGGACCCCCAATTTTTAACATCTTCCAGACTGGTTACATAAATATAGACCCACATTACACAACCTCAGAATAAGTTTCAAACCCTCAGTGCCTTAGTTCTGCAGGACTGAATTTAGTTTTCGCTATCTTGTCTTCTAACCTAGGTTAACAGGCTAAACCTGCCCTGATAGGAGAAAATGAAGAAATCTGGCGCTCAAGCCTTGCAAATCTGATAGGTGGGCACCAGTCCGGGTTCTGGGCGGCTGTTCATCACCTACCTCTGCAGACAGGGTCTTCCAGGTCGCCTCCCCCGCGGAAAGCACAGGGGCTGCCATAGCCGGGTGAGTGCCGAAAGCTCCAAGCTCCTCGCGACGCCCTGACTAAAAGAGAGGGGGCGGGGCTACATGCGCCTTGGTTTCGCCAAACTCCTACCCTCGGCTGCGATTGGTCGACTCATTCATTTTTAAAGGAAGGCGCGAACTGGTGGACATTTCCCATTCTCGGACCCCAGAAGCTAAGGGTTGCTTGCACAGCCGCCATGAATTACATCAATCTGCCCACCGTGCTGCCCGTCTCCCCCAGCAAGACCCGGGGGCAGATCCAGGTACGGGGTCCGGTTGGGTATGTGGGGGTCGGGGTGGTGGCTGGTGGCTGGCCCGGGCGTACGCGAGCAGGGACCCCCTAAGATGACTTCTCTCCTAGGTGATCCTCGGGCCCATGTTCTCAGGAAAAAGGTACTGCATGGGCCTCCGGGGCGGATGGGCCTCCCCCTGTCTGCAGACCCTGGCTCTTCGCTCTCGTCTCCCCTCCTACGGACCTGGCTTGGCCGCAAACTCCGCCGCCCAACCTCTGTGCTCGCCTTCCCGCCCAAATTCCTGGATGTCTGCCTCCTTCCCGCCCAAGCCACAGCCCCTTTTCCGGGCTTCTTCTGTCCTTGCTGAGGCGAATCACATCTGGGTACCATAGAGACCCCCAGCCCACATCCCCAAAAGCCCGCTGGACAACCCCGTGTGACCGCGGTGGTGGCTGGGAGGAGCCTGGACCCCCTTTCCGCCAGTTTCCGCATTCATCCCCTCCCCTGTAAGCTCTCCCGAAGCCACGGAGCCCAATTTGCTCTGAGATGAGGGTCCCTCCTCTGGGAGTCCCACCTGGAGTAAGTCTGCACTGCTCGCAGTTTCTTGGTTTTAGTTTTTTGGGTATTTTTTTTGTTTTTGACTCAACATTTTTCTATGACCCTGACTGGCCTGGGGCTTGCGCTATAAACCAGGCTGGCCCTCGAACTTTGAGATCCCCCTGCCTCAGGGGTGCCCACCATACCAGACACCCCCACTGTTCTTGAATGGCCTGGTGTCACCTGAGTTTTGTCCCTTGCTCGGAGGGTAGGCCCAGAGGCAAGCGCTTTGGCGTTTCTTTGAAAAAGCTCTGTGAAGTTCATTCATAAAACTGTTAAGTTTGTTCAGAACAGCTGGGGGTAAGTCCGGGCTAGGGTAAGGGTCGGGGTGGCCTTACTAAGTGGTGGCAGCAAATCGCCTTTTGCATGGGCCTCACCTGCCCTGGTACCGCTTGCAGCACGGAGCTGATGAGACGCGTCCGGCGCTTCCAGATCGCCCAGAATAAATGCCTGGTCATCAAGTATGCCAAAGACACACGCTACAGCAGCAGCTTCTGTACGCATGACCGGTCAGTCCCATCCCGTGCTGCAGAAACCCCTAAGGCATGGGACATTCTGTCAGATGTATGGGGGGAGGGAGCTTTTCCAGAACCTTCTTAGGGATGGGATGATACCGGCCTCTAAGGGACAGGGGGATGAGAATTGAGAATGACCAGTGCCCAAATGAACATTGTGCAGGGAGAACCTGGTTTCCACTTGGGTAGATGCTGCGCCCTGCAGCCCTCATGATTGACCTCACGGGAATTTTCTCCCTGCCATCGGGTGTCCATCCCCACTAAGAACTGTATGCCAGAACACTGGACACTACCCTTTGCAGCCGAAGGGTGGGTGGGAGCTTCATAAAGTGGTGGCGAGCCTGGGGATTGGTGTCCTGAGACACTCTTTGCTGAGTGTCCTGGGCTCACCCCAGAGCCAACGCTGACCACGAGGCTGGAGCTGCAGGCCAGGGTTGCTGTAGGCTGGGCCGAGGTTGAGCAGCCTCTTGTAGGGCAGGTTTCTGAAGCAGAACAGGAAGTGGAATGTCCAGGACTTGGAACTGGGGCTGGAATTCAAGCCATGCTTCCACCAGGCTTTATGCTGTGATCTTTACTTCCTCGTGTGTGTGACCACGGTGTCTACCACACAGGATGGGATGAATATCCCAGAAAGCACGGGGGTGGGTGACCCAGGCAGTTCATTGCCGTCCTCTGGTCTGCTCTACTGGGGGAGGAGGGAGCACAGCAGAGTGCGCAGGACAGCCTCAGGACAGGTCTTCACCTTCTTTTCACTCAGCTTTGTGAGTTTCAAACTCACAAAGGTTGGTTGGGCTTTGTTTGTTTTGAGTTTTGGTTTTCTGAGGCAGGACCTCTCTACAGAGCCCTGGCTTTCCTAGAACTCACAGAGATCCGCCTGCCTCCACCTCCCTAATGCTGGGATTAAAGGCGTGCACCAACACGCCTGGACTTCATGCTTTCATAGCAAGCCCTTTACCCTTGAGACATCTCAAACCCGTTTTTGATTCGTTTGCTTTTAAAAATGCTCTTTGGTTTTTTGAAACAGGTTTTTCTGTACAGCTCTGGCTGTCCTGGAATTCACTCTGTAGACCAGGCCGGCCTCAAATTCACAGAGATCCCACCTGCCTCTGCCCCCGAGTGTGGGATTAAAGGCGTGGGCCATCCCTACTCTGCTAGTTTTAAAACCTTTTTATCTTGTTTGTGTATGGGCGTTTTGCTTGCAGGTAGGTTTGCGTTCTGCTTGCTTGCCTGATGCCTGAAGGAGGTCAGAAAAGGGCATCAGATTCCTTGGGACAGGAGTTATAGATGGTTGTGAGCCGCCATGTGGGTGCCAGGGATTGAGCCTAGGTCCTCTGCAAGGAAAACAAATACTCTTAACTACAGAGCCCTCTCTCCAATCTGTTTATTGAGACATTGTCTCATTATGCAGCCTAGGTGGGCCTTTTAACTTGTGACCCTTCCTCCTCTTCCAGGAATTACACACATCCAGCTCCCCCCCCCTTAATACTAGGATTGTAGACAAATTCTGCCACGCCCAGTTTCCCAGATCTTGAAGATTGTGAGGTTGTAACTGAGGCCAGAAGGTGTTTAAATCTGTCTGCCTGCCACTGCACAGTGCTTGTCTGTGTTTGGGGAAACAGCTTTTTCTGCGTTTGTTTTGAAAGTGAGGTAGACACAGGGAAGAGGGCAGGCATTGGACACAGCCCAGCATTCCTCTCTTTAGAAAGCTAGCAGACAGCGAGGGTGGGTTCCCGGTGTCCTTTAAAGGCATTCTGGAGCATTTCCAAACTGGCTCTCTGAGGCCTGGGTGGGTTCTTCCTTGACGGGAAGCGGTCTGGGCCACAAGGCCTGTAATCTCTGTCAGCAGGTGGTCATGTGACACGGAGTGTCCTTTAATCTGTGGAGGGCAATGAATGGATGGGGGATCCAGGGGGCCACTCTGCTGTCTGGCTTCCAAGCTCGCACACCGTTCCGGACACTGAGACCAGAACACTTCTTGTCTAGTTGCTGCTCATAGGCTAACACACAAACCTGTTACAGCTTTCCTGTGTGCTGGGCTCTCTTGTGGGACCAGAGAGATAGACATCTCAGTGGTTAAGGGCGCTTACTCTTGCCAAGGGCCCCGGTTCAGTTCCTGGCACCCTCAGGGTGGCTCCAGTTCCAAGGGAACCTACACCCTCTTCACCAGATGTGCCCCTGATACACAGGCATAAATGCAGGAAAAACACTAACAGACATAACTAAAATCTTAAACTTTTGCCAAGTGTGGTGCACACCTTTAATCGCAGCCCTTAGTAGACAGAGGTAGGCTGATCTCTGTGTTTGAGGGCAGCCTGGTCTACAGAGTGTCCAAATATCTCAAATACCTTTTGGCACTGACAACAGAACTCTAGGCGTGAGTTACCAGGTGCTCCACAACTGGGCTGTAGTCCAGAATCTCCCTAAAATTTTAAATTACATCTTACCGTGTCAATGATATAGGTCGGTGATATCCCAGTTTGTTTTGAATTTTAAATAAATAAAACCAGTTTTTGCTGCTCAGTGTATTGTGGACCCTGGGGACTGTCCCTCCTAAAGACCTTAGCTGGAGTTGTGGCTCGGTAGTTGGGGGTTTCTGCAGCACACATACCTGGTTCCCTGGAGGATTAGTTTTTGAGGTTTTGTTTTGGGTTCAGGGTTTGTTGTTGTTGCTGCTGAAACATTTCGTAGACCAGGCTGATCTGGAACTCACTTGCCCAGGCCTCCCGAGCTCCTGAGTGCTTCAGTTGCAGGGATGGATGCATTACCGCACACACTTTAGGCCATGGGTTAGAATCTTGTGGCACTGGCTTGCTTAGTGCCCTCCTGTTGGCAGAGGCCCAGCCGGACTCCTTGGGCATGGCCTTGCATGGCCTTTTCTTCTCATTCTTGGTGGGTCACCCTACAACCTAGGTCAGGCTCCTGATGACCAGTTTGCCTGTGCATCCTGTTTCCCATTCTAACCAAAGAAGAGATTTATTTCTTTTTTTAAAAAGATAAGCATTGAAATCCCACCTGTATCTCCAAAGAAAACTTTGGAATTTTTGTTGAGCTTGGCTGTTAATTTCCAGTTAAGGGAGGTAGCCTGTATTAAGTGGTTCCCCGCCCCTCCCCCATAGAAACAATACCACAGGTTGCTCTGCCGGACCACGGTATCACCCTCTCCCCTGCATCTGGGGCTTAGGGATGCTCTGCTGATGGCCTTGCTCATCCTCTGGCCCTTCTCTTCCCAGGAACACCATGGATGCACTGCCGGCCTGCCTGCTCCGGGATGTGGCCCAGGAGGCCCTGGGCGTGGCTGTCATTGGCATCGACGAAGGGCAGTTTGTAAGTGAGCTCAAGCTTCAAAGCGTAACTCATACCCACACCCCCAACTCCTTCCCTGATTCTGAAGTTTCTCTTTCATCTTTGGGAAGGTCGGGAGTCTAGCATGTCCTTGCTGGTGTGTGAATTCCCTTGACCATGTGCCATGTAGAGTATCTTCTCCCAGAAAGGCTTGGGATAGAGCTGGGGGAGAGCTCCACTCTGGCTTGACCTCTGCAGTGGCTGGGCCTCCAGTCCATTAACACCGGCCTTGGCTGGGTCTGGGGGTTTGTCTGTATGGTTTTTATTTCTAAAAGATATTGCTCTACTTCTTTCTGGCCAACTGCATCCATGTTTGTTTGTTTTCCAGGGTATCCTCTGACTGGGGTGGGAGTTGTCTTTTGTGGTCTTAATTTCCCTCCCAGGCTTTGAAAGTTTGGACTAGAAGTCCCTGTCTGAACGCCTGAGCAGGGCTGAGGATGTTCCAGCGTGCGTAAGGCCCTGGCTTCTGTCCCCTGTCATCCTACTGCATGACGGGGCGTGCTAACAAGCCTACAATTCTAGCACCAGAGACAGGCATGGGGATCAGTTCACAGTATCCTTGGCTGTATAACCAGTTTGAGGTCAACCTGGGCTTCGTGGAGGCCTGTAAACCAAAAGGGTCTGGCTGCAGTCGAGGCTTAACAAATGTGCGCTTGACTCCAAAACTCAACACCCTCAATGGTTTCAGAAATATTCGTTGGCGGGTAAGGGGTGCTGTAGAGTCTCCTGTGTTGGGAGACTAAGGTAGGAAGAGGATCAGGAGTTCAAGGCCAGCCTCAGCTACAGGATAAGACCTTGTCTGAAATAATCTAAAATCGGGCCAGTGAGACGGTTCAGTGGGGAAAGGAGCGGCTCAATGGGAAAAGGAGCTTGCTGCATAAGCCTGGAGGCCTGAGTCCCTGGAACCCACGAAACGGTAAAAGCAGAGAACCACCTCCACAGAGTTGTCCTGTCACACATGGGTTAAGGCACACGTGAGAGGACACACACACACACACATAATCATGTGTAGACAGATAAATGGACCGGAGAGAAGCCTCAGTCCCTCAGTCATTGAGATCACTTGCTGGCTTTGCAGGTGACCTAAGTTTGGTTCCCAGCAGGCACACTGGACAGCTGTCTGCTTATAACTCTAGCCCAGAAGATCTGAGACTCCTGACCTATGTGGGCACCTGCATGCACGCACACACGCATGTGCCCTCACATAGACACACATAACTTAGCATTTTTTAAATAGTTGTCAAATAGAGATGGAATGTACCTCCCTAGCATGCAACCAGGTGACATAATAAACTACTCAGTAGGAAATAATTTCTCCCTGTCCTGTGGCTCCTGAAGGCTCGCTCACAAAGCTGAATGGATGTTCTGCAGGCTAGACTTTGCTGTGGCTCTCTGGCTGCCTGCTACTCTCACATTCTACTGTGGAGGAGGCCAGGCTGACTGGGGGGTGGGGGTCCCAGTCTGCTCCCTGTACACCCCTGATCCCCACCTCAGAGTGAGGCAGCTCTGGCTGCGATGCTCCCCTGTACCAGCCCTCCCTCCCCATGCTCCGGGACAGCTCTGAGTTCATCCCACCGTGAGATGCATGCCCAGCGGTTGGCATCCGTCCATCACCTGGACATGCCAGATCTGCTATTGTCCTCAGAGGGAAACCCTGAAGCACAGCCTTGCAGACATTGCCTGAGAGTCAGGACAGGGTACGGCCGCTCCCCTCAGGCCTGCTGCAGTAACCTGCAATTAGCTCCGCTCTCCTGGTGTTCCCAGAGGCCCAGGTCTGGCCCCAGTGTACCAGTTACCCCAGTCTGTTCCCTTCCTAACCTATAAGAGAGATTTATTTATGTGCTCCTCCCACTTAGGATTAAGAAAAAATTAATGTGGTGGATACTTTGCTTTTTTTAAAAGATTTATTTATTTATATATGTATTTTATGCATGAGAGCTCTATCTGTATATATGCCTACGTGCCAGAAGAGGGCATCAGAACCCTTTATAGATGACTTCTGAGTCACCATGTGGTTGGGGGAATTTGAACTTGGAACCTCAGGAAGAACAGCCAGTACTCTTAACCACTGAGCCATCTCTCCAGCCTGATGCTTTGAATTTGGAGATGGGGCCTTGTGGTCCAGGCTGGATTAGACTCAGCCTCCTGAGTGTTGGGATTAGAGCCCTGGACCTCATGACGGCTTCAGTGAGTGTTCATTGTGCAGGCTATATATAAATACCACAGCTATTCCATTCTACCCCCAGCTGCCAGGGCCCTGCTCGTTACAGAATTCAGGATCTCCCCATTCCTTCTGTGTCCTTGCCTTGGACAGTGGGTCGAGGGTTGTCTAAGGCCATTGAAGTCACAGCTGAGAATATAGAACCTCCCATGTGTTCATTCGCCAGGGCCAAGTCCCACAGGCTTCTTGGCAAGAGTAGAAGCTACGCGTCCTTAAGAACTTTGTGTTTCATTTCTGTTTGATACAAGCAACGACAGGCACACACTAGGAAAAGGAAGTTTCCACAACAGCGTCTTTGAACCAGAGACCACTGAAACCTGTCGCGGGGCAAACAGTAGTCACGGAACAGGGGGACTCTAGAGGGGACAGGGCTCCCTTGGGTCCTTTGGACCAGGAGGACCAGGAAACTTCAGGAACCTGCACCCTTAGTGGTGGGAGAGGCCTGGAAGGAGGGTGGTACCTCCTGACTGGTTCCCTTTGGCAGAGACTGAGCTGTGTTTTGTTGATGCTCAGATGTGACTGGGGAGGGGTCTATACCCATGGTGGCTAGGGTACCTTGCCTGATGTTGGCCCAGGAGATTATATTCAGCCCGTGTGAGTGCCAGCCCTGCCTGGATGCTTCTAATTATAAGCATGTTTTTATAGAGCAGCCCTTGTCACATGCTGTGACTATTGTGGGAATAGCTAGGTCCAGGGACCAATCACATCCATTCCAAGTCCCTGCCCTTCAGCTGTGGCATTCTAGGCTCTGGAGACAAAACTGGAACTTCCAGCTCACCTGTGTTGTTGGACTACAACTGGGAGGGACTAAGGAGGAGGAAGACGCGGCGGGGGGGGGGGGGGGGGAGGTGGAGTGGGGGGGTCAAAAGTAGGGTCTGAAGAACCAGGCACTGTGGCAGCACTTAGAAGGCTGAGGCTAGCCTGAGCTACACAGTAACAATTAATCAAAAAAAAAAAAAAGGATGGGGAGAGAATTTGGTTGATAAGGCACAGGTCCTAGCCCCCTGTAAAACACTGGTTATAGCCAAGTGTCCATAATCTTAGTATTAGGGAGGCAGGGGCAGGCAGGTGCTGTCCAGCCAGCCTAGCTGAATCGTTGAGCTCTCAATTCGGTGAGAGACCCTGTCTCAAACACAAGGTAGAAAAGGCAGGCGTGGTAGCATATACCTTCAATCTTGAGAGGCAGAGGCAAGTAGATCTCTGAGTTCAAGGGTAGCCTGGTCTACATAGCTTGAACAGGAGACAGCAAGATCAGGTGTTGAACAGGACAAGGGCCACCTACAGCTGTGTCAGGAGCAAGTTGGGCAAACTGCACACATGCCTCTTGCTTCCCGTTGCCAAGAACCATCCCCCCCCCCGCCCCCCGAGACAGGGTTTCTTTGTATTTCCCCAGCTAGGACAGGGAACTTGCTCTGTAGACCAGGCTGGTCTTGAACTCAGCCTGTCTCTGCCTCTCGAGTACTGGGATTAAAGGAATGTGCCACCACTGCCCAGCAAAGGGCAGATTTTTTTTTTTTTAATGCGCTGTACGTTGTGCCCATAGAGGCCAGAAGAGGGCAATGGGCTCCTGGAACTGGAATTGATAGATGGTGTGAGTGACCACATGGCTGCTGGCAACTGAACCAAGTCCTTTACAAGAGCAGCAAGTGCTCTTACCTGCTGAGCTGCCCAGCCCTCCCTGGAAATCTGTTTTATTTATTTATTTATTGTTTTTGTTTTTGTTTTTCGAGACAGGGTTTCTCTATAGCTTTGGAGCCTATCCTGGAACTCCCTTTGTAGACCGGGCTGGCCTCGAACTCACAGAGATCCTCCTGCCTCTGCCTCCCAAGTGCTGGGATGGAAATCTGTTTTAAACATAAGTCAAAATGGGCTTTAGGCACAGGCTTTGTTCACTGACAGTTCGAGAAGGCAGGAACCCATGATTGGCCAGTTCCTTCAGAGGACTGTAAGGGAAGCTGTGGCCTCTCCGTTCATAGAGGCCTCTGTTGGGTGCCAAAGTCAGCTGGCAAGTCTTGGGTAGCATGCTGCTGAGCCATACAAAGGGACTGGGTAGCAGTGGGCATGCAGGTGGGCATTTCATGGCAATGGTGGCATGGCCTGGTCTCCAGTTCTGGGCTGACCTGCCTAATCAGGCCCATCAGGGTGTCCAGGAAGCCCCTGCGCAGGGTAGCTGCCTCACTTCCTCCAACTTTTTCAGTTCCCTGACATCGTGGAATTCTGTGAACTGATGGCCAATGCAGGCAAGACAGTGATTGTGGCAGCACTAGATGGAACCTTCCAGAGAAAGGTAAGGTGTCTGACCCAGGCCTGGCAGTGGGTCCTGGAGGGAGGTAGGGCTCTGGAGCGTGGTACAATCCACAAGATGTCCCCAGAAGCAGGCATGTTCAGAATAGTTGCCTGGTGGGTACTCTGAGCGGGCCAAGGGGTTGAGAGCATGAGGGTGTGGCTTTCTAGAAAAGCAGGATCCGGATGATGTATCCTGAATCATAGGGTTTAAGGGAGAAGTTGGGGCTGGCAAGAGCTCAGGCTGTGACATGCATATCTTGCAAAGCGTGCAGACCTGCGTTTGATCCTTGGAACCCTCTTTTTAAAAATGCCAGGCGAGGTGATGAGCATTTATTACCCTACCACTGGGAGGCAGAAACAGGCAGATTTCTGCTCACTGGCAAGCTCCAAGCCAGCGAGAGAAACCATTTCCAAATAACAAAAGCAACCAAGGTGGGCGGTGCTGGAGGAACAGCCCCTAAGGCTGCTCTCTGGCCCCTGCACACGAGCACACGTGAATGCAGGCAGAAAGGGAACTGCTTGGCAAAATGACCAAACATGCCTGCTGTCCTGTGTGTAGGCTTTCGGCAGCATCTTGAACCTAGTGCCCCTGGCCGAGAGCGTGGTGAAGCTGACTGCTGTGTGTATGGAGTGCTTCCGGGAAGCTGCCTACACCAAGAGGCTGGGCACGGAGAAGGAGGTATCCTCACGCTTCTGTCCGTGGATCGGGGCGGGCTAGGGCTCAGTCCCACCCTCACGCATCCCTTCCATGGCCTGTCCCCAGGTGGAGGTGATAGGCGGCGCAGACAAGTACCACTCCGTGTGCCGCCTGTGCTACTTTAAGAAGTCCCCTGTGAAGCCGGCCCCCGGACCAGACAACAAAGAGAACTTCCCTGTGCTGGGACAGCCTGGAGAGGCCTCAGCTGTCAGGAAGCTCTTTGCCCCTCACCAAGTCCTACAGCACAACTCTGCCAACTGAGAGGACCTGGGGCTGGAACTGCCTCACAATAGATACTGCCCTGGACAGGCTCAGCTGCTATCGCAGCCTCTTTTACTTCCCTCTGGGTTGCTGAGGTGCTTCAGCTCAGCGGGGAGACAGCACGCCTGCTGGGTCCTTAGGGCTTGACATTCAGCCAGAGGTGAAGACGGAGCCACATGGTTGTTGTGACATTGGTGGTGCTGGCTTCTTCCTCCTTGGTGGCTTTCACTGCTGAGTTTCAGTCTCGCGGAGCCCCGCCCCTTACCAAGGCTCCAGCCCTCCCTTTGTGCTCCCACAATGGCCCCCAGAGCCAGTATACAGTGGCATTGGTCTTGCCCTGCTCAGAGCCCCAGCCCCATGACTCAGGGCTCTTAGAGCTGTGCTTCTTATGCTATAGTGTAAAATAATTATTAAAGTTTGCTACTTGAGAGCTTATTTCTCTTTAACCTGGGTTTCCCCGAATCTTGCAGTCAGAGCCTGTATGACTTGGGGGCAGGAATTTCTTCTGCCTGGTTGGTTTCAGTACAGACATGGAAAAGGAACCAGGGAAAGCCCAGGGGATGGTGTTTGTTGCTGGCTCTGGGGGGTCAGGTTTTGTGAACAGGCGCTGTAATCTGGGCTGAGAAAATCACACGCCTTGTAAAGTGGGCTGTAGTAACTCCCTTGAAGGCCAAAGACCTGGGTCTAAGACGCGAACGTGTGTCCCTTCCCTAGTGCTGTGCCCAGCTTCAGACCATGCTCTAGAGGGAAGGCCTACAGCTCAGAGCCTGGCATAGCACCCTGTTAGTTTATGCTTCAGATTTTGAAAGACACCATCAGAACCCACTACTGATGGCCTCATCATTGCACAAAAGCCAAGAGTTGCCTCAAGGGCACGCTGCTTCCTGATAGAGATGGGTCCACTCTGACACGTCCCAGAAACTTATCAAGACCCAACCTCCTGCACTGTGCCCTTCACTTCTGATGGGAAACATCTGCTCTGGAGGGGGCATTCAGGAACCCCGCCCTGTGCACCCCTCGGGGGGGGGGGGGGGGGGCAGCAGAACCCAGACAAGCTATCTAGAAGAACCAGTCTATATGCTGACACTTGCTATTAGGGTGCAGTAGAAGGCAGTGTGGAGAATGAGACCCCATCAGGAGAAGCTGCCACCCCATGCTCAGGGCACACGTCCTGGTTGGACGTGATGGTTTACAGCTTATTCCCAACACTCAAGAGACAGAGGCAGGTGGATCTGAGTCCCAGGACAGACAGCCAGATCTACACAGTGAGACCCTGGTCTAGCCAAGCATGGCCGGTGCTTTGGAGTCCGGTAAATTTTGAGGTCAGCTTGGGCTATGCAGATACTATGAAAAGCTGGGGTGTAGCTCAGTTGCAGAGCAAGAAGTCCAGGGTTTGAAACCAAGTGCTGGGGGGAAGGTCAGAGCTTCATCCTTGGCTACATAAATCTGAGGCCTTTTCTCAAAACAGTATCAATCAAAGTGTATTTCTATCCCTAGCTTTTGGTGCCATCAAGGACAGCACACTGAGAAAAAAACATTTATTTCACATCCGGACTAGTCTACAGAACCTGAGGGCAGGGCCATCCCCACCAAGTCTCAATACATTCAGTGCAGGGGTTCCTGCCCTCCTCCTAGGATCTAATAACTGCTGGGGGATATTTACATAAAGCTCCTCCCTCCTGCCAGGGGCGGGAGCAAGAAGGAAGTGATATCCAGTCCCCAGCCTGCTCCACTGCTGTCAGGCAAGCAGCCTAGGGACAGCTGGCCCAGTGGTGACCCCAGAAGACAGCAGAGAGGAAGCTGGGTAGTGAACCTGAGTGAGGAAGTGGAGAGCCTAGGGCCAGCACTCCAAGGAGATCGATGCATGGACCCCCAACCTTGTCTTTGGAGGAAAAAAAAAGATAGTTGGGGCTCCTGTGGCCACAAGCTGAGCTCAGACTTCCAGCTGAGGGGAAACTGGCATATGCCAAAAACAGCATGTAGCGGGCACCTGCTCCTGGCTGAGGTTGGGGTTCAGGGTTATCAAAAGTAACAAGAGCTGGGCACACAGCTTGACAGTGGCACTGGGTAAGCAAATTCAAGGCCCTGGGCGCCATCCCCAGTCCTGGGGGTTGGTGGTGGCGCCCCTTCGGGCACAGGCACTTCAGGTGTGCTCTGGCTGCAGCTAGAATACAGAAAAGCGCGGGCTCTTTGGCTGTCAACTGGAACCGGCAAGGGACTGCAGTTCCGGCAACAAACCTCGAGAAAAGTCCAGGGGAGGGGGCGGCCCCCATGGCTGCTCAGTACACAGGGGGAGGCTGGTAGCCCTCAGTGGTCTCCACGTTCTGGGTGAAGGGTGGCTGCTGGTAGTTTTCCACGGAGGCACTGGGGTAGGAGGAGTAGGCTGTGTTGGGGTCTGGGGTAGGGTCCACATAGTTCTGGATGAAGGCATCCACTCCCACCTTGTAGCGTTGGTAGGCCAGAGAGGCCAGCACACCCTGCAGGGGAAGATGCAAGGAGTGGGCAGGGCAAGGGGACCTGGCTCTTCATGGAAACTTCTGAAGCTGCCCTCCCCAGCCCACCTACCCAGGAGAAGATGGAGAAGAAGCTGAAGGTGATGGCTGCCCGTGCCGAGTCTGCTTGCACCCGCACGTCTTCAGAACTGGTGGCTGCCCACTGGTTGGTTAGGAAGCAGAAACCAACGAACCACAGGAAAGTCCAGAGAGCTGGGGAGACAATGAGGGAAGAGTGGGCCCCAGAACATGTCTCCTGGGCCCCTGGGAATCCCGTCTGTCCCCAGGGACTCAAGGAAGGGACTCAAGGAAGGGACTCAAGGAAGGAGCCTCCCAAGGCTTTGTGCTGTGTAACCTACAGAAGCAGAGGGAAATGAGGGCTTAGGGGTGAGTGCTAAAGAGGATGGATGAGTCCAGAAACCTGATGCCATCCTCACCCTTATGCCAACACTCTTGGGTTTCTGAAGTCTGAATGTCTTGGGTGCCATCCCAGGGTACAGGGGACTCGGGAGAAGCCACAAGTGAGGTCCATGATCCTGAGCTGCTGTCAGCAACCCCTCCCGACAGCACCAAGGTCCCTCGTTGTGAAGCCTTGGCGTGCCAGTGCCACAGGCATACCTGAGAAGAGCAGGTCACCGATGACCAGGTACTTGCGATCAGTAGCATTGCTTATCTGGGAGAAAAGGGCGTCGACCACGAGGAAGAAGGCTGATGCCAGGAAGGCCAGCACCCCAATGGCACTGCCATAGCGGCAGGCATCCTCGTTCTTGTTGAACACACAGTATAACTGCTGAGAATCGTGAGTGTTGCTGTAGCCCTCACCGAAGATGCAGGAGAACACGATCAAGGCCAGAACCTGAGGGGGGGAGGGCACTGGTGGGAGGGCGCAGACATCTGTGGGCACATCCTGCTCAGACAGACCCCTCTCGGTGCCCTCGATGAGGATCCTAGCAGGGCAGCAGCTAGCTCTTGTCTCTCTACTGATGCCCATATGGAGACCAGTGTTTCAACCCCTCTGGACTCCTGGAGTAAGGAGATGGGCAGGCTGTGGCCAGGGTGTCCACAGGTCCTCCCCATCAGGGGCCAGAGGGTAGACTGGGCTATTGTGGGAAAGGGTTACCCTCCTTCCCCTCAAACACTGAGATCCGCCTCTCTGCCTCCAGCGCTGGGATGAGGGTGTGTGCCACCAACGCCAGGCTGTTTTTGTTTGTTTGTTTGGGTTGTTTGTTTGGCGTTGAGGGTCACATTTAGTCCAGGCTGGACTCTGTGTAACCCGGGATGATCTTGACTCCTGGTCCTCCAGCTTCCACCTCCCAAATGCTGGGATTACAGTCATGCACTACCATGCTTGCTTGGGGTTCCCCCAACCCTATCCCATCCTCATTGCTGTCAATTCAAACCTAGGGCCTCATACATGCAAGGCATGTGTACCACATGTTGCTGGTGGTGTTTGTGTGTTTATTTGTTTTGTTTTTTGAGACAGGGTTTCTCTGTGTAACAGCCCTGGCTATCCTGGAACTCATCATGTAGACCAGGCTGGCTTCAAACTCACAGAGATCCACCTGCCTCTCCCTCCCAAGTGCTAGGATTAAGGCCTGTATGACCATGCCCGGCTTTTGTTTGTTTTGAGAGAGGGTCTCACTGTGTGGCCCTGGCTGTTCTGGAACTCAGAATCTGCTTCTGCTTTCAGAGCAGAGTGCGGTGATTAAAGGCACGAGCCACCACGCCTGCTCCTTTTTGGCTGTTAAGATAGAGTCTCAGACCGGAGAGCCAGCTCATCAGTCAAGAGCACTAACTGCTCTTGCAGAGGACCTGGATTTGGTTCTCAGCACCCACACTGGGACTCATAACCGCGTGCAACTCCAGTTCCGGGTGAACAGATGACCATTTTCTGACCTCTGTGGATACCAACCATGCACATGGTATGTATCTTCATCCGCACACGCAAACGCACACAAAAAATACAAGATCTCACTCTGGCTTGAGCTGGCCTGAAGCCTATGACAATCCTTCTGCCTCAGCCCCCTCAGTGCTGAGATTACAGTGCTGAGATCACATCCCATCTGAATGAGCATTAAAAGGTGGTGTAAAACAAGAGTTCCATCCAACCCTCACCCCAAGACCTTGTCCCAAGTCAACTCTATAGCATTAAACAACATCTTCCAGACCATCCTTCAACAGCAGAGCTCGGGCCCCTCCAAGACTCCCCTAGTGCAAATGACTCCCCAGCCCGCCAGCCTTCCCCCTACAAGGCCTTGCTGGCTAACCCTTCCGCCTTTGGCATGCTGGCTGCTCCCCTCCAGAGAACCACAGTCTAGAATCCAGTCCCACACTTGTTCTCTCAGAACAAGGTTCTTGGGGTGGTCAGAGCCAAAGGTCTTGTGGGTCAGGCTTAGACCTCTCGCAGGAGCCAGGTCTGAGGAGGGAAAATCACCAGCAGTAACTGTCCAGTTTGGGAAACAGCCCCTTTGGAATCGCCCTAGTCATTTTGCCTCCTTCCCGCACCTCAAGGCCACTGCTAAGAGCCCACCTCAACCCGGCAGCCGGAGCTGTCTGTGGGCACGAGGCAGCCTCCAAACTCCTGGGGCCAGAGCAATCCGATTCTCCCAGAACGCTCTCTATAGGGCTGTAAAACCGAAGTCACAAGCCCCGCCTCCAGCTGGAGATGAAGCCGGAACTCCAGGATCGGGCGCACAGTCTGGGTCAAGACTCCTGGCACTGCCATCCTGAGTGACAGGGCACAACCCGGGACACAGTCGACTGGACTCCACCGCTAGGCTGGGAGGCTCGGGGAGCCATGGCACCTCCAAGACTCAGGGCCCAGATCCTCTGGGAGCAGTAGGCCCACCCTCAATCCCGCAACGAAAGCCTCAGCTTTCAGTGTTTTCGTCCCACGAAAGGGACACCCGCCTTACGCGCCTGGTACCAGAGGGCTTGCCCGGCTTCTGGGGAGAGACTCCATGCTGGGTTGGTTAGCTGGCCTGTTGCTAGCCTCTGAGCGGGAAGGAAATCCTACTTCAGGGCGCCACGCCACCCCCCTCCTTGCACCCCACGTGGCCTCAGAAAGTCCCTTCCAGGTGAATTCCCCACGCCGGGAAGCGCGGCGTGCAGGCCACCTGCTGTGGCGTGGCCCCCGGAGCCCCACCCACTGCCAGCAGGGCGACGGGCCCGTCCCCGCAGAGCACCTCCGGGGACATCCCGCACCGGGGTGGCCGGGACGAGTCGATGAGAAGAGATCCGGAGCCACGCAGTGGGACAGGAGACAGGGCGCACGGCCTGGAGGGGACGGAGACGCGACGGGGTGCGGGGCCCGCGCTCTCCGCCAGGCCTGGGACGTGCGGCCGCAGCCACCTGTCGCGCTCGGTAGGCGGCGGCCCACGGGGCCTGGTGGCCGGGGCGCGCGGCTCCGGATCCCCCCTGGCCGACTCACCATGCTCACGATGCGCGTCACCACCTGAGGCTGCGACACGAAGCGCCTCAGGTCGAAGGAGCCGCCCGCGTTGGCCGCGCCGTAGGCCCCGCTCTCCATGTCGCCTTCGCCGCCGAGCCGCGGATGGCCGAAAACCAACCGGACCGCCCCGCCCCGTTCTGGCCCCTGGGGGCGTGGCCGGCCGCCGAAGGAGGGCGTGGCCAGCCGCCGGGGATTCGCTGCTGCGGGGTGTCACTCAGCGCCTGCTGCGCCTTGCCAGGTGGCAGGAACTTGGAGCTGCGCCTGCGGTGGCGCCGGGGTGGGGCAGAAGGGAGGAAAAGCTCACCTCTGGGAGGTCTCAACAAGAAAGGTTCAGAGAGACCCCTGGGAGAGAAACTCTTGGGTGGCCGGTCCCCACCTTACACCTACACCTGGCTTCTGGTCCACTCTAGAAAAATTCTCCAGACACCCAAATCCCACCAACCCAGAACCTAGGCTCATAAACGTTCAGATGGTCTCAAGATCCTGCTTCAAAACACACAAGTGCAACAGAGAGAGAGAGAGAGAGAGAGAGAGAGAGAGAGAGAGAAGAGGAGAGGGGGAAGAGGGGAGAGGAGAGAGGAGAGAGGGGAATGTAATTATGTAATTTTAAAAATTAAATAAGATCATTGGTTTACAGAACCCAGCTCCTCTTCCCCGCAAAAAATAGCATTTAGACAGGGAACCAAGTGCTTTTTCTGTGAAGCGGTTGTATGCTTACATTGGCAACACAAATGGGCTGCCAAGGCAATCGTGGCTGTTGAGAGGTGTAGAGGGCTGAGGAGTAACTAGGCAGACACAAACTAGAATCAGGACAAGATGGCACTACCATGGTCACTTCAATGGGTAAGGAGTAATGAGGACATTGGCACCTCTGTAATGAGGGGGCTGGACAGTAAAGGAAGTTGGGGCAGAAACCTGGCCCACCAGAAGGGGTGCATTGGGGAGAAAACAGGAATGGGCACAGTAGGAGTTGGGCTTCCCACGCTTACACAGAGGGTGGCAATTGGCTGGTGAGTGAACACAGGGCACTCCTGGCTGTCTAACTCCTAAAATCTGCACACACACCCTGAGTGTTTGCCGAAGGAATCCCGGTGGTGGCAGGACTCTCCCACACCTCCTTCCTTCCTTTTCTTTTCTTTCTAGATTAAAAAAATAATAATAAATTTAGCCGGATTGTGGTACACGCCTTTAATCCCAACACTCGGGCAGCAGAGGCAGGCGGATCTCTGTGAGTTCGAGGCCAGCCTGGTCTACAAAGCGAGTTTCAGGACAGCCAGAGCTGTTGTTACACAGAGAGACCCTGTCTTGAAAAGCAAACAACAAACAAATAAATCTTTTTCCATTACATTTATTTGTTTTGTGCCTGGCGTGGGGGTGGGTGGCAGATGACACGGTACAGGTGACAGAGAGGGATTCTTGCAGGAGACAGAGCTCTCCTTCCGCCTTGTGGGTCCCTGGGGTTGAGTTTAGGCTGTCAGGCTTGGCAGCAAGCACCTTTACCCATCTCGCAAGCCTCTTTTTAGATTCTGTTGTTGTTGTTGTTTTAATTTCGAGACAGAGTCCTACTATGCATCCTGGCTGTCCCAGAACTCATTATGTAGACCACGCTGGTCTCTAACTCACAGGAATCCTGCTGTTGCTGCCTCCCAAGTGCTGGAATCAAAGGTGTGCACCATCACACTCAGCCAGCACCTCAATTTTTGTTTCCATTTCTTTGTTTGATTGCTTGGTTCTTTGAGATCTGACTCATGTACCAAGATTGGCCTTAAACTCTTTCTTCTACCTCCCAAATTCTGGGATTACAGGTGTGAGCCACCACACACAGAAACCATTTACTGTTACCAAATTGTCAGTGACCCCCTCTTCAGTTACACCACCCTCAGTGGGGAGGAGCTGGGCTCCAGTGTGCCCACGAGCAAGCACACCCACGCGGTTACTCGTATTGTTCTCGTAGCAAGAGCCGCCAACAGCAACTCAAGGCAGGAATCCCCTACACAATACAAGTTTACTTCTTTGGGCCTTATACACTATAATGCTCTAGATTTCAGGGCCCCTTTTGTGGTGCAATACTTTTGGTACCCTGATCTGCATTCACTCCCCTTTCTGTCCCCTCTCCCTGGGTTCTTTTTCACTGCAGTGGTGAATTCTTGTGTAGGCAGGGAGGCAAGCCTGGGGACTCTGTCTTCCGGTTACAACCTGATGACAAGGGAGTCCACAGTCCAGGTCACGCAGACTCACCCAATCTTACGGTTTCAAGAGCATCAGTGAGCTTCTTACTCATGCCACTAAAGGCATTGAATCACCAAGAGGTTACTCGCTGGCCCCTGGTCACACGGTCAGCAGGAGCTAGGTAGGCCTCTGTACTCCCATTTTATAGAGGAAAACAATGAGTCTCAGAGAGGTGACATACCCTCCCGAGAGTCTAACCTCTGGATAGTCTTGGGAGGAGGAACCAGGAGCTCCAACAGGGGCCAAGCTGAGATGTTCAAGGAGACAGAACTGACTACCACCCAAAGATCTGCTCAGAGATCTGTGGTACCTGGAGTCAGACCACACAGAGGCCCTGGCCACTGTACATGTCAGAGATGTGAAGGCTTAGAGAGGGGAACTTGGGAGGCCTCACCTTTGCAGAAAGGTTGGCTGGTGGGACCGCTGTGGGGGGCTATGCAGGCTAGAAGCCCCTGGCTCACTCTGGTCCCTCGAGGCTTCATGAGACCCATAGGGAAGTCCCCCACCAGAAGTCGGCTGAGAGCCCTGGTTAGGGTGGGGTGTGAAAGGAACATGCTAGACACTGTAGGCTTTTGGTTTTAATAAGCAGCTTCAGGCTGGGTCCTTGCTGTATCTCGATGACAACCCGTCTCACAAGACTAACCTGCTGTTCCCACTTAGGACCCTGGCTGTTGAAGGGGGTGGTCGGCCTCTCGCCCAACATCAGGCTCCCGTGGTTATTACCTGGTTGACCTCAGCATCCCGTAACTAATGGCGGCAATGGAGACCAGGCTGCCGGCCAGAATGCAGGTGGGTGTCAGGGGCAGCTCCCCTGTGGGGTGGGAAGGAGTGTGGGTTGGGCTCCTGCTAGGCCAGGGGCAAAGGAGGCATGCAGCATCCTCAGGCCCATCGTGCCCTGGGCAGTGGCCAGGTCCAGCCTTTCCCCAGCCCTGGCCACCTTCCTGGACACACTGCAGCTCCCCCCAGCCCGGTCTGGAAGGGCCTTCTCACCTGGGGGCAGCAGCACGCGGGCGCTACTCTCAACACTGACACCATTTGTAGCTTCGCAATGGAACCAGCCAAACATCTGGGACAGGGGGATGGAGAAGTTGGCAGGCTTCCCGTGGAGGGGTCTCTGTTGTGCGTGTATACGCCCATCATTCCCGACCAAACGGTAGATGATGGGTGGACTGCCTGAGGATGCCAGGCAGGACAGCTCCGCCGTGGGGTCTGAGTTCCCATCACGCAGGGTGAAGTCAGCCTGCAGCTGGGACACGGGCTCTGACAGGGAGGGAAAGACAGGGCAGCACAGGTGAGATGCAGAAACTTTCAGACGCCCAATGCATCCTTCTCTTTATCTGTCAAAGGAACCCAGAGACGTAGCTGTGACTGCCACCTTCCCCTGGCAGCTGGCCAGATTGCCCTCTGTCCTGCTTGTCTAGGCTAATAGGTGGCTTGCAGCATATACTATACAATTCCATTTTAAAATATTTTTTAAAAAAATCATTTGGGCCAGGTGGTGGTGGTGGTACACGGCTTTAATCCCAGCACTCGGGAGGCAGAGACAGGCGGATCTCTGTGAGTTCCAGCGAGTCCCTGGACAGGCTCCAAAAAGCTACAGAGAAACCCTGTCTCAACAAACAAACAAAGAAACAAAGAGGAACAATGATATAACAAAATTTGCCCAGCAATGGTGGCACACACCTTTAATCTCCACACTCAGGAGGCAGAGACAGGCAGATCTCTGTGAAATAGAGGCTTCCCTGGTCTACAGCGTGAGTTCCAGGACAGCCAGGACTACACAGAGAAACCCTGGCTGGAAAAAAAAAACAACAATTTTTTGTTTGTTTGTTTGTTTTCTTTTTCGAGACAGGGTTTCTTTGTGTAGCCCTGACTGTCCTGGAACTCACTCTGTAGCCCAGGTTGGCCTTGAACTCAGAGATCCCACAGCCTCTGCCTCCTGAGCACTGGTATTAAAGGCGTGCACCACCACAGCCTGACATCATTGGGTAATTTTAAAAATTGTTTTGGACTAAACTCCTGCAGGGACCAGGCTAAAAATAAAAATGGTCTCATAAGAGCTAGGTTCCACATCACCAAGCTAACACCGAGTAGACAGCAATTCAGGATTCTCAGGCAGCCCGCTTTCTAAGTTCTTAGTGACCTGGCAGCACACGCCTGAAATCCTAGCCCTCAGGAATCTAAGAGAGAATAAATAAATAAATAAATAAATAAATAAATAAATAAGGATACGGGGCTAGAAAGATGTCTCAGCAGCTGAGACTGCTTCCTGCTCTTGTAGAGGACCCAGTAGGTTCCCAGCACCCTTAGTGTATGGCTCACAACCATTGTAAGTCTGACTCCAGGGGGCCTGATGACTCTGGCCTCCAAAGACACCTTAAACACCACACACAAAGCCAGGCGGTGGTGGCACACGCCTTTAATCTCAGCACTCGGGAGGCAGAGGCAGGCAGATCTCTGTGAGTTCGAGGCCAGCCCGGTTTACAAGAGCTAGTTCCAGGAAAGGCTCCAAAGCTACAGAGAAACCCTGTCTCAAAAAACCAAAAAAACCAAAAACAAAAAAACACAAAAAACAAAACAACTACACACAATAAACAGGCCATGGTGGCACACGCCTTTAAGCCCAGCACTTGGGAGGCAGAGGCAGGCGGATCTCTGAGTTTGAGGCCAACCTGGTTTACATAGTGAGTTCCAGAACAACTAGAGCTATGTAGAGAGACCCTGCCTCAAAAATAAACAAACAAAAATCTTTTAATTAAAAAATAAGAAACAAACAAACAAAAACAGTTGGAAACACCCGTTAATTTAAGGCCAGCCTGGACTACACTGCAAATTCCAGGTCAACCTGGGCTACAACGGAGACTTTACCAGCACCGGGGATGGGGGCCACAGAGGTAGCTGGATCTCTGAGTTCAAGGCCAGTTTGGTCTACAGAGTGAGTTTCAGGACAGCCAGGGATACACAGAGAAACCCTGTCTCAAGAAAAAGAAAAGAAAAAAGAAAGAAGGAAAAGAAAAGAAACAAAAGATAAAAGTGCTTGCTGCTTTCAAAGACCCTAGTCTGGTTCTCGGCTCCAACAAGGTGGCCCACAACTATCTGTAACTACACTTTCAGGGGCCCTGACGACCTCCTCTGGCCTCCATGGCACTACACATATGTGGAGCACAGACATAGAGGCAAAGCACTCATATCCATAAAATATGAATAAATCTGTAAGCTCGGCTGGGGATGTAGCTCAGTGATTGGGCGCTCACCTTGCCCAACAGGCCTCTGGCCTAGCTATTAAAGGTGAGAACTGTGGCACAGGATGGCAAGCTCCTTCAGACACAGGCCACCGCTTAGAAGAATGGAGGAGCTGGGGTCTTCAGGACTCCGCTGAGCAACCCTGCTGACCAGAAGCTAACTGTCCCATGCCTGCACTTAGCCCCATCAGTGCCAAGTGTCACCTCCCTTGCACCTTCCTAAGCCCACCCCCCTCCCCGGGGTGTCCTGTTATCTTGCTTCACAGGCAAAGCAATTGAGACCCAGACACGGAGAGACATGTTCGAGACCCCACAGCCAGCTCATAAAGCAATCCCAGCCTTCCACATGCTGGGCTTCAGACTTTGGGCGCCTGCTTTTAGGCTCTTGGCCTTGGTGTTTTTGGAGGGTGAGGATGCTGGACTCGTGGAGGCCAGCAATACTTCCTCGTTCCTATTAACAGAGAGTGACGGCTTGGGTGGAAAGGGAAGAAAGAAAGGTCTTCGGGGGGGAGGTAGCGTGGGAGATGAAAGCAGATGTGGTCACTACGGGTTGTCTAAGCAACACCCTCGACCTCAGAGAACGTTGACTTCCACAATGGCAGTGAGGAACCTGACTGCCTCCCCACGGGTGTGGATGAGACAATTAACAGCAATGCCTTTATGAGCAGCTCCAGTCAGACCCACTGAACCTTCTGGCCCCTGCCGGGAGACTGTGCTCTCTGGTCACCCACGGACTGGGCACAGCCTTGGAGGCAAGCAGTCTGCTCTGCCCTCTGTCCCCACTCTGCCGCCTTCTCCTGTCTCCCCCCATCCCAAAGTCCACCATCCCATCCCCCATCCCCTCTACGGATCCACATCCCACCAGCCTCACCAGCCTGCACCCTCTGTACTCACTGGTCCACAGCTCCCAGTACATTTGCAGCTGGCTGCTGGGCCCATAGGTGCCCAGATCAGAGGACGCTCGGCAGGAGTAGGTGAGCAGGTCTGGGCTGGACTTGAGCGTGATGTTGATGTTGAAGGAGGCTGGCTTGTCATCACGCACAACCCTTGTTGCCACCAGGACCCCTCGGCTAGCCATGAGAGAGTAAGTGATGGGCCGGGGAGCCTCAGGGCTGTCGCAGGTTATAAGCACCCGGCGGCTTTGAGGGTAAACTTCCAGCACTTTGTAGGCAATGGTGATGTCTGGGAGGTGAGCAAGTCAGGGAAAGAAAGAAACCAAGATGGACCAAGTACTTTAAAATTATGGTTTGATAATTCTTCAAAAAGTTAAATAGTTGGAGCTGGACAGAAGACCCAGAGGTCAAGAGCAGTCCTAGGAGATTTGGGTTTTGGTTTCCGGCTCGCATCAGTCAACTTACAACCACCGGTAACTTCAGGGCTGGGGGATGGACATTCTCTCCTGGCCTCCAAGGGCACCTGCTCAAAGGTGGCTCACCAAAACTCATGCAGATACATACACACATAAGCAAATAAATTTTAAAATTTTTAAATGATTTATTTATTTTTATTTTGTGTGCATTGGTGTTTTGCCTGCCTGCATGTCTGTCTGTGTGAGGTTGTCAGATCCCCTGGAGCTGGAGTTACAGTCAGCTGTGAGCTGCCATGTGGGTGCTGGAAATTGAACCCAGGTCCTCTGGAAGAGCAGCCAGGGCTCTTAACCCACTGAGCCATCGCTCCAGCCCCACAAATAGGTTTTTTTTTAAAGAAGTGTAAACATAGGGGTTGAGAGTGTATCTCAGTGGTAGAATACAAGACTAGCTATCATTTCTAAGACCCTGAGTTCAGTCTCCAGCACCATAACAAAGGTGGGGGAAGTTAAAAGAATTAGTGACGGCTCAGCAGGTATTCTCCAGGACACATCCCAACAGTATCAAAGACAGACTTGGACGGATCCATCACACACATGTCAGGGCAGCTCCGGTCACAGCTACCCAGAGGGGGAAACACCTGCAAATCCTAACAGTGGAACATGGTCTGTGCAGGGGGTATGATCTGATCTGAGGATAAACAAGGCTCTAGAGGCGTCATGCCACGGCAGAGCCTGAGCCAGGCATGGGCAAGGTCCTCAGTCTCATTTCCAGTGAGGTCAAGAGGAAGAAATGAGCCCCACCCATTTCTCGATGCCATAGCGCCAATATGACATGACTCCGTGCCATGGAGTCAGATGGGAGGGAAACTGCTGTGTAAGTACACTTTGGGGGCTGGGGAGACGGCTCAGTGGTTAAGAATGCTTGCCGCTCAGAGTCACACAGTGGCTCACAACTGCCTGTAACTCCACTCCCAGAGGGAATCCAAGCCCTCTGCTGGGTTCTGTGCGTATTGCATGCATTGGTGCACAGACACACACACAGACATAGACACACACACACACACATGCACACGCGCGTGCACACACACACACACACACACACACACACACGGGGGGGGGTGGGGAGAGAAGGCGTGGTCTCAGCCTTTGAGAGGCAGAAGCAGGCAGATCTCTGTGAGTTTAAGGCCAGCCTTGTGTACATAGTTTACATAGTTCCAGGACAGTCAGAACTACACAGCGAAACCTGTCTCAAAGAAGAAGAGGAGGAGATAATTAACATCAGAGACTCCCGACCAGATAGGTTGCTCTTGCTCTACTAGGCCTGGACACTGTACAGTACCCGTGGGCCACACAGCTTTAATCCCTGTACTCAGGAGGCAGAGTCAGGTGAATCTCTGAGTTCAAGGCCAGCCTGGTCAACAGAGTGAGTTCCAGGACAGCTAGAGAAACCCTGCCTTGAAACCTCCACCCTCTGCAAGAAAATAGAAGAAAAACTCCCGTGGAGAGGCTCCAAGCCCAGGACTCCCCAAGTTTCTGACCACTGTACCCACTTTCTTTCAGATCCTAATTTCTGCCTCAGGGGAACTTGTGTCTACTGCACTTCAGCTGAGTGCTGAGGCCAGGGACCCCATTCCACACCCCACAGCAGGGAGTGACCGGCTGGGACAAGAGCAGCCCCTGGAAAGAAGACAAGTTCTGGAGACACCTGCCCCAACCTGTGTTTTGGTTTTATGAGACAGGGTTTCCAGTCCTGGCTGTCCTGGAACTCACTCTGTAGACCAGGCTGGCTTCAAACTCACAGAGATTCGCCAGCCTCTGTCTCCCAAGTGCTGGGATTAAAGGCGTGTGCCAGCACTGCCTGACTTTCCAGTAGCTTTTTAAACATCGTGAGGAGGTTTTTTGTTTTTCGGATTTTTTAATCAAAATAGATTTCTATTTTGGGATATCAGACCTAACGCCACTGCCAGACCTTCTCTGGTCTCCATCTGGCAGACTTTTAACAAGACTCCTGTCATTTGACCTTTGGGGATAACAGGTCTTATCAGTGTGTAAGGAAGGTGTTTGGAGCTAGACTCTGTCTCACTGGGTGGGAAAAGAGTTGAGGGCCCAACTGTGGTTACATGTTTGTTTGTTTTTCTGCTCCCTTCATGAAGAGCAATGAGCTTGACTTATAAAAGTGAAAAGAAAAAACGGTCCCTCTCATTTCCATTTTGGCGGCCTGGAATAGAAGCTTGGTTTGCATACGTGGGGAAGACAGCACAGTTGGTGTCCTGAGGTGGAAATAGAAAAGATCCCTCTCTATATGCGCCTGCTGCGGTGGCAGCTGCTGGGTTCTGTCGTTTTGTTCTGCTTTTGTTTGTTGAGACAGGGTCTCACTATGATGCCCTGGCTGTCCTGAAACTCACCATGTAAACCACACTGGCTCAGAACTCAGCTGCCTCCCAAGTGCTAGAATTAAAGGTGTGCCACCAGGACTGGTACCACCTCCCTCCCCCTTTTCTTTTAAAGATAGGGTCTTACTGTAGCCCAGGCTTGCCTCCACCTTGCTGAGGATGACCTTGCCCCTCTGAGCCTCCTGCCTCTAACTCCCAGGGATGATGGTCGTGGACCCGCATGTCCACGATGCTCTTGATTCTAACAGCACAGAGTTCTCGTTCACTTTCGCCCTCTGTCCCTGCAGGAAGAGTGGCTTCTCTTTCTGTACCTGTTTTACCCTTGTGGCCGGCAACAGTGCCAGCAACCAAACGTCCTCTGAGAAGATTTGTGAAGGAACAAAGGATCAGTCAGCCTTCAGAAGCCTCCTCTGCAGGACCCCACCAGCAGAGCTGAGCAGAGGCCATGGGCTGAGGGGACAGGAAGGCAGCGTTGCCTCTGCCCAGGTACTTTCCTGAGAACCAGACACCAGCTCTTTTTTTAGCTATGACACTAATAACCTTTTTCTTTTTTACAGAAATGAGGAAATGGTAGTTTGGTCTGTGCCTCATCCGACTGAGACCTTCGTCAACACCACCCTGCACCCTTTCTTAAGCAGAACAGAAGGGGATGCCCAGGGACGCAAGGCGGCAAACAAGGCATGGAGGTGACTGCCTGCCTCACCCCGAGGGGCACAGAGATGAGGCTGAGTGCCAAGGGAAGGTCCAGGTAGGAGGGGCAGGGGAGGAAGCGAAGAGAAAGATGGAATAGGCCAGGGACTGTGGTCTTTCCCTGACTCCCTTTCCTCCCTGGCTCTGTTCCTGGGCTGTTGGGGAGGAAAAGAGGAGAGAGGAGGGGGCAGGGAAGGAGAAAGAGAAGGGGGAGACAAAAAAGGGGAGGAATAGAAGGGAGTCAGAAAGACATGTATATATATATATATATATATATATATATATATATATTACAGACTATACATGCATATATATCACACACTATATATGTATATACTATACACTATATATGTGTATACATTACACATGATACACATATATTTCACACACATATATACATGTAGTATATACATGTATATACTACAACCATACTTATATATTATACACTATACATGTATATATTACATGCCATACATGTATATATTAGATACCATACATGTATATATTATGCACCACACATGTATATATTACACACTATACATGCATATACATTATACACTAGATATGTATATATTACACACTATACATATATTATACACATATGCATGTGCACACTCCCCCCCATATATTAAGAAAGAGAGAGAGAACAGTCACTCTCAGCTGCTTCCAGAACAAGAAAACTTAATGTCTAAGTCCTCCCTCCCCTCCCTACTCCCCTCCTAGAAAGAACACCCTAGAATTTCCTGGCCTTCTCTGGATCCCACCCATCAAGCAGAGCTGTGGGCCTTGGGGCAGGGGAATTCTCCTCCCTGTGAGGACCTGGGGCCTTGTGACTGGAACACAGCTGCTGAGGACCCCTCCTCTTCACACTCTGCAAACTTCCTCCTCTCTCCATGCGCCCCAGAGGCCTCCTAATGGCCTCACCCAGTCCTGCAGGGGTGGAGCCAGAGTTATCCATCTGGGTCCCCCCTCACCCCTTCCTCACCATTAGTAACCTCTTTCCTGTCAAGACACCTGCCACAAGTGTGCACCTCCGGCCAAGGTGCCCCCAGCTAGATCCTTCCCCCTGCAGTGTGGGGGCTACTCACCTTCTGTTGGCTCCCCTGAGAAGCTGCAGGCAGCTGTAAAAGAGGAGAGGGGTAAGCGAAGCTGGGCAGAGGAGGGAGACAGCCCAGACAGCTCCCTGCCCAGGCTGAGCCCTAATAGCAAGGCCTCTGGAACCAGATGGTGGCTCTGGTCATGACTGCATGTCTTATTTTACTTCATACAGGCTCTCTCCTATATTCCAGGCTGGCCTTGAACTCACTATCTCCCTGAGGGTAGCCTAGAACTCCTGATCTTCCTGTCTCCACTTCCTGAGTGCTGGGATTTCCGGCATGCACCTGGCTTGAAAGGAAACTCTTCTGCACAGTCTCACACTTGGAATCCCCAGGGCAGGCAAGTTAATGGGAATCGGAATCAGGAGAGATGACCGTGCAAGCATGGTGACCCAAGTTCGGGTCCCTGGTTGGGCCGACCGAAAAAGGTGGGTGTGGGGCGTGTTTCAACCGCAGTGTTGGGGGAGCAGCTAGCCAGTCTAGCTGAAACTGCAAGCTTTAGGACAGTGAGAGCCTTTGCCTCCAAAACTAAGGCAGGGAAGAGATTGAAGAAGACATGCTCTTAATGCTCAATGTCTGGTTTCCATAAGCAACCACACTGGCAACTATAAACACACACACCCACACACCCACACACACACACCAGTGGAGTCAAGGTAATGACCTGCGTGGTCATACATGCGTGTGTCATCTATGGGGCTGATGTCAGCATCCTGCTCAGCCCCCTCCCCAACACACACACACACACACACACACACACACACACACGCACGCACGTACACATCCACCTTCTCTCCCTCTGGTGCGTCTGCCTTCAGTTCTTTCTCTGGACTCTCAGACACCCCATTCCCTGAGCCCTACTTCCTCAAGGCCCTTCCCTTGGTGTCTGCAGGAGACTCACCCAGCACAGCCAAGAAGTGCAACGGAAGGAGCCTCATGCTTCTGCGGGAGTGGGGCTGTGTGGGGCCTCCGCTCAGGCTTCCTCAACTGCCCTCTCCACCCTAAGGCCCCTGGATGCTCTTTGGGAGGCTGCCTGCAGCTTGGAGATAATTTGAAGGTTGTGGCTATCCAGGAGGCCCCCAGATACCCTGCAGGGCTGGCTCCAGAGGTGTCTGTGTCCTCCCTGGTACCTGTGGGGGAGGGAGTGAGGCTGTGTCTACTGAGTTCCAGATGGTATTCAAACAAAGGCCTTTCTTTATCAAGGAACTTTTATTTTATTTTATTACTTTTTTTGTTTTTGTTTTTCGAGACAAGGGTTTTTCTGTGTAGCCTTGGATATCCTGGAACTCATTCTGTAGAACAGGTTGGCCTCGAACTTACCAAGATCCACCTGCCTCAGCCTCCCAAGTGATTAAAGGTGTGTGCCACCACTGCCTGCCCTATCCAGGAACTTTGTAAAAAAAAAATTATGATTTATTTTTCTTCTGTGTACACTGCTGTTTTGCCTGCACGTACATCTTTGTGAGAGTGTTGGATCCCCTGGAACTGGAGCTATAAAAAGCTGTGAGCTGCCATGTGGTTGCTGGGAATCGAACCTGGGTTCTTTGGAAGAGTAGCCAGTGCTTCCAACTACTGAGCTCTCTAGCCTCACCAATAAGGGGTTTTCTTTATCAAGGAGCCTTGGGGTGGTCACCTGCTAGGAGACAGGGAGGAGAGGTGCTTTGGTCCACGTCTATTGATTTGTATCTGACCCCACTGACAGGGTACCTGGTACAGGTGCTGTGCTCTGTATTGGCTGAATGAGTTCCCAGCGACCCAGAGTGGATGAGGTTCTCCCTCACCTGAGAGTATGGGGCTGTGTGCCTAAGGCTGTCCTTAAAGGAATCCAGAGAAAGGCAAAGTCTCCCCTTAAGGACCCAAACTCAGGCTAACCTGAACAAAAGAGAGTAGGCCATGCTACCAATCCTAAGGCCACAGCAGGGCCAGACCCACTGGGTCTGAGAGACACAGGGCACCAAGGAAGCAGATGATATGAGCACTAGAACATGCTACCCCACGAGAGGCTGCTCATATCTGCCCACCCATGCTGTGGGCTCCTCGCCCCAGTCCAGGCCCGGGCCTGCGGACCAGTCTGTGGCTTTCTGGGCATGCTCAGTAACTTCTGAGCAAACACCCACTTTGGCGGTTTCATTACAGTTGAGGTCCCCCGCTGCCAGGTCACCTCCTGTGTCAGTAGATGCTCTACAGAGCCTGGCTGGCAACCGCACTCAAGTCCCGCTCTGCCCCCTGGGAAGGCACCCTGGATCTAGGAGGGCCCCTCCAGCCTGGTCCCCTCTGTGGAGGCCTGGTTTTATCAGGAAGCTGTCTGAGCAGAGGGAAAAGCCATGGGAAGAGCCAGCAAAGGTATCAGGTCACCTGGACACCCACCCACTGTGCTCCTCACAGTGAGGTCCTTCCTGCCAACCGCCTTGAGTCAGTTCTCCACCGAGTACCCACAGCCTGGCATCTCCCCCAGGGCTGGAGCCTGCATCCCATGCCCACCTCTTCAAGTTTTTCCAGTGGGAGCTGAGGAGGGTGAGAACATTTTGACTTAGTTTCCAACAAAACCCCTTTTATTTAAAAATTAGTTTTTTAAAAAATACTTATTTACATTTTATGAGTATGCATGTACGCCTGAGTGCATGTATGTCTACCACGCGTGTGCAGGAGCCTGTGGCAGTCAGAAGGTGTCGGAGCCCCTGGTGCTGGAGCACAGGTGGTTGTGAGCCAACAATGGGTGCTGGGAATCGAACACAGGTCTTCTGCAAGAGCAGCAAGTGCTCTTGACGGCTGGGCCACCTCTCCAGTCCCTATCTCTTTACATTTGAGGCAGGGTCTCCCGACCATGGTCCTTGGCTAGCAGTGCAGACACATTTCAGTGCCCCTGGTACCCATCACCCAAGCCCTGGCACACACCGGAAAGGTGCCACCTGGGTCTCCTGCACCATGACCGTCTTCTCAGCGTCCCAACTGCCCCAAGCCTGGACCATGTAGTCCCCACTGCATGCCTTCCTCAGCTCCCTGCACCTGCCCATCTCCTGCTCACATACTCTCTTTCCCCAAAGCCGTACCTGGGAGGACATCAACAAGACTTCCCTCCGAGGTGCCATTGCCAGAGGGCCCCTGGTTAGCTTTCTGGTTGCCAGCAGGTCTCAAGCTCCCTTCCTACCCCCCACACTGTGTCTTTTGGGGCACAACTTCACAATGTTTTGTTTAGTTTTATGTCAATGTTATTTTTAGGTGGTTTTTTATTGTTTATTTGTCTGTTTGAGGCAGGGTCTTACTTTGTAAGCTGTCCTGGAACTTACTAAGTAGACCAGGCTGAACTTGAACCTACAAAGACTCCTATCTGCCTCCAGAGTGCTGGGATTAAAGGTATATACCACCATGCCTGGCTTTTTTTTTTTTTTTGTATATTTGACACAACTTCTACTCTATTTCCTGGCTGATCTGTAACTCATTATGTAGACCAGGCTAGTCTCAAACTTAAGGCTATCCTTCTGTCTCTGCCTCTTGAGCACTTGGCATGGGCTACCATGCTGGACCAGTTTTGTCTTTGAGACAGGATCTTGCTCTGTAGTCTAGGCTAACCTCAACCTCATAATCTCCTGCCTCAGCTTTCAAGTGTTGGAGTTGTGTGAACCTTGAGCCTGGCTGCAAAAACAACAAATACCCAGGTGGTGGTGCACACCTTAAATCCCAGCACTCAGGAGGCAGAGGCAGGGGGATCTTTGGGTTTGAGGCCAGCCTGGTCTACAGAGTGAGTTCTAGGACAGTCAGAGTTACATAGAGAAATCCTGTCTCAAAAACAAAAAATAAAAACCAAACAAAATGAAAACACACACACACACACAAAAAAAACCCCACAAATAAACAAAGAACTACAAAGATGAGAAGTGAACTAGAAGGACCCACTGTGGCTGGCCTTACAGCTCATGGTTTAGAGAGGCAGGGACAAGAGTCTGTTTCCCACCGACTTTGCTACAGCTGCCGTTTAAAAAGCTGTTAATGAAGATGTCACTTTTTACCTGGACAGCTTGTGAATTCCCTCCCACTGATCACCAGAGCCTGCCTGTGCCCCTCCTGGTCTTGTTGCCCTAGAAACAGTACCCTAAACCCTGTCCTGCCCTGTCTTTGTGTCCCGGGAACGGAGGCAGCATCTTCCAAGAACACCTCCTACAGTGCATTCTCTGCACGTCTCGGAGTGTAGGCCGGTACACACCACCTAGACCCTGGCACTTAGAAGCACTTAATTGGTTTTGGGAGGGGGAGGTCATGTGATGGCCAGGCAAGCAAGGCAAGGTCAGCCACAGGAGGATCTGAACTGCCAAGTCTTCAGTGGTCACCTGAGAAGACTCCAGTCTCCAGGGCAGAAGTCCAGGCAGGAGCTACAGGCTCCTCAGCTGGGTGAATGGCCCATGCCTGTCACCCTAGTGCTTGGGAAGCAGAGGCAGGAGGATCAGGAGTTCCGGGCTGCACGCTGGCCCTGCCTTTGCAGCACCCTTGAACATACCACCTTCCAGGGCCACCTGCACAGCACTCTGCACAGGTCTCAAAGTGCAAGCCTGCACCTGCCCGGAGCACCTGGAGGGGAGGAACCGTCACCCCTCAGAGGCTCAGTCAGTTCACAGGAAGGCCTAGAGAGAGAACAATGTTTGGCAGGGGTGTGGTTGTGAACCCTGAGCTGCTTGCTTTCCCCAAGGGACCCAGATGTCACTCAACTTCAGCAAGTTACTCTCAGGATCAGGCCTGACCCAGACCTCATTCTGGTTTAGTGTGTCTTGGAGGCCACGTAACTGGCTCAAGCTCCGGCCTGGCCACTTGCTGAGCACAGGTGGGTGGTACAATGTGGGGTGCATGGAAAAGCCCTCAGTGCCCGGAAGCCTGTTCCAGACCAGGGCTTGCAGCGTCATGGAGAGAGGTATACAAACACTTCTGAGAACCCCTTCCTAAGAAATTTGAATGCTTCTAAAAAAAAAGTACATAAAATTTTATCCATGAGTTGATATATATACCATTATGTACACTATAAAACACTCAATAAAACATCTGAAGGGATTAGACAAAATAAAACAGAGGTAGACATTCTCATCTTCTTCCTGCTGACCTGAGGATGAAGCCTGGGGCCAGCAGCTGTAGGCAGTGGCTCCTGAGACTAGGGATCCTCGGTAACGGATGGGAGTGGAGGCGCTGGAGGAAGCTGTGGCAGAACCGGGGGTGGGGTGGGTTGTGGGGCGATCGGCGCTACATCTCTGTGCGGCTAGGGAAGTGAAATCTGGCGACAGGAACCGAGGCACTGGGGGCTCCGGAGCTCGAGGAGCTCAGCCTGGTGGAGGGTCCCAGCCGGGGTGTCCTGGGGCCGGGTGAACCTGGGCACGGGAATCCGGGGCAGAAGGACCGCGGACGCGAAGCTAGAGAGCGAGGGCGAGGGGACTCGGGCTCCGGGCTCAGCTCGGGCAGCAGCCGTGACAAGTCGTCCACCAAGTGCCACTTCTCCTGGACCTGCTGCAGGTAAAAATTAAGGGACCAGCTGTTAGCTCGAAGCAAACCGCAGCCAGAAGCCACGCCCACAACGCAGTCTGAGGAGGTTCTCAAGGTAGTCAGAGGCCACCCCGAAGTCCGGCCCCTAATTTAGGACCAGGCAGCACCACGGCCCCGCCTCCAACAGGCCCAGTCCCTCCTCAGACCACGCCCACAACCTAAGGCTCCGCTTCGACCCAAGGCCACGCCTCCACCGAAGTAGGCTGCCAGTCAAGCTCCACACTCCCCAAAGATTTGTCAGAAGCACAGTCACTTACCCACACCAGCTGCTTCCGCAGCCCTTGGATGGCTCTGGCGTTCGCCCGGGACTGGGAAACGCACACGGTCAGGACGAGGCTTGAAGCAGATAGAAGTGCAGGTCAGTCACCTTCCAGGCCACAGTCGTCGCTGCCTGACTTCCTTCCCCGTCCCCCAGTCTCTATCTTTGAGACAGGGTCTTGCCATGAAGCCCAGGCTGTCCTGGAGCTCACTCTGTAAGCAGGGTGGCCTCAAATTCACAGCCATCCTCCTGCCTCAGCCTCCCGAGTGCTGGGATCGCCGATGTGCACCACCACACCGGATTTACCCTTTCAGTCCCAAAGCTCTGTGCACGCTGTGTTATCTGAAGACTCCCCTTCTTCCCACAGCCCCTCCCTCGCTCTAAGAGCGCCAGCATGGTGAGGCTGCTTCGCCAGGGGCCATGCAGTCCTCATGGCGTCCTAGGAGCCCAGAAGGCCTACAGTATGCCCTCAGGTCACCTGTCTTGGAGCCAGTTTCCCTGGTTCCTGCACCCCAGGACACTGTCTGGAGATGCCCAGGTGTACACCACCCCTGGGGAAGGAAAGCTAACTGGATTTTCCCCTTGGTCCCTGCTGTCTGGAGTCACCTGAGCAGAATGAGGAGAGGGAAGCTGAAGGCGTGGGAGCTGAGGTACCGGAGGGCACGCTGGCCAGGAAGTGGGAGCTGGAGGGTCACCAGTTCTGGCACCACCTGCCAGGGGGCTGAATAGTTGGTGAACAGGCCACAGTCCCAGGAGGAGTGGGTGCTGGAGAGATGGGAACGGACAGGTTTGTGAGGGTCTGGGGTAGGAGTTGCTGGACCAGCTTCCCAGCCGCCAGCCCCATCACCTGCTGATCACGTAGGCCAGAGGGACTGCAGCCAAGAGCAAGCCCAGGAGCAACACCAGTTGGAAGAAGAAGGTGGAACTGGAGGCTCGGAACAGCCTTGGGGACGCCCTGGAGTTCCTCAGGAGAGTGTACTGGAGGTGGGCGAGATAACAGGACTTACCAGGGTGTTTTGTGGACCATGGAGTCTGAGGTCCCGGGAAGGGAAGGCAGAATCAGATTGCAGCAGCCCCTCGGGTGCCTGTCCCAAGCTCCCACCTTCTTGATGTAGAAGGTGAGAAAGAGGAAGACACTGTTGAGGAGCGGCAGCAGGGGGCAGTAGAAGAGGCCCATCCAGGTGACAGTCTGCGCAGCCACGATGTCCAGCACATTCTTGGGCACCAGGAACTCCTCCCGGTCCAGCCAAGTCCAGAACCAGCCTGAGAAGCGCTCCACTAACAGCCTGGGGTGGGGAATGCAGGATGGGGTAGGATCTGGGTCCACTCCCGGGGCGGGAAGGGAATGCTAGCCATGCGGGTCTTCCCTATGGGCCATCGCACCCTGCATCCTTACTCATGGGGACAGACCTGGCTCACGCTTGGCAGTGGCCTCTAGCTGTCCCCTGCGGTGCCCCCCATGTAGCTCACCTCCGAGGCAGGCTGATCAGGAAGGCGAAGGCCACGGTGAGCAGGAAGTTGAAGATGATTAATTTATATAACTCTTCACCCACGGAGTTCTCCCAGCACTGAGGTGCAGAGGAAAGAGACCCATCACTGTTCCCACGTTCCTCCGAACTCTCTTCCCGCAACCATCGCTTGTCAGGGTTGGGATGGGTTGGTGGCTGGGGTGAACTCCCAAAGCCAGGAGAGCTATGCACCTCTGGGGTGTGGTGCAGGGCGCCCCCTGGGGGCACGCCATACTCCGCCTCCAGCTACTCACAAAAGCGAGATCCGGGCAAGAACAAGGACTGAAAGGGACCGGACTCCCGAGTTTGAGGTGGGGCTTTGTGGGGGAAGAATGGGTGGCCACCTGGTATTCGCAGGCGTTGTAGCCGTAGGTCTCGCAGCTGGTCTTGTTTCTGCCTATGCACAGCACAGTCTGACCCAGCGAGAAGGAGAACATCCCCAGGCTGGCCAGCTTCAGTACCACGCACCTGAGGGCGGGCGGGGGATGCATCAGAGGTGGGTGGGGGTCATAGAGTTGCCTGGTATCTGAAACCTGGCGACTCAACCCCGCCTCCTTCCAGCCTGCTTCATCTCCCGCGGGTGTTTTTCAAAATGAGTTCCTCAAGCCTGACTCTACATGGTTCACGGGGAATGGATCCTGCCTCCTAAGTCAGTGTGGGAAATACTGTCCCAGTCAGTTCTTCCTGCTGCCAGATTTATGGTTTATTTATGGTCCTGCAGAAGAAAGTCTACGCCTTCCTGGGTCCTCTGAGCCTCAGTTCAGGAGACACCTTCCTCTTCCTTATTGTTTACTTTGTAGCCCTGGTTGACCAGGAACTCACTATGTAGTCCAGGGTAGCCTCAAAGTTGCAGAGGTCTGTCTGCCTGTGAGCGCTAGTATTAAAGACATGCACCACCATACCTGGCCTCTCTCTCTCCGTCTCTGTGTTGAGTACACTCACATGCATGTGGAGCCCCGAGCTTGACGTTAGGTGTCTCCCTCTGTTGCTCTCTACTTACATTTTAAACATTTTATTTTTTGTCTGTTTATTTCTTTGAGACAGGGTCTCCCTATGTGGCCCCGGCTGGCCTGGGACTTGTGCTGTGAACCCAGTTGGCCTCAAACTCAAAGAGACCTGCCTGTCTCTGACTCCAGAGTGCTCTTTTTATTTTTAAAACTGTGTGTTCAGTGATGGCCAGAGGCATTGGAACTCCTCGGAGTCAGGGTTACAGGCTGTTGTGAGCACCATGTGGGTACTGGGAATGAGACTGGAGACTTCTGGGAGACTTGGACCTGGTCTCCAGCCTCCACTTTATTTGTGGCAGGGTCTTTCGCTGAACCTGAAGCTTAGTGTTTCAAGTCAGACTGGCCAGGGCGCAGCTACCCATCTCACCCACCGCAACACTGGGCGTGGGATGTGGGGTGTGACGAGCACGTGCCACCACACCCAGCTTTTACATGGGTGCTGGAGCTGAGCTCTGGCCCCTCTTTCATGCCAAGCACACGCTCCATGGCTATGCTATCTCCCAGTCCCACTGCTCAGCGTCTTAGGCTTCAGTAACAAATGCCATGTGTAGCTTCTTCATATGTCAGGGCCACACCGGTCTGATGGCCTGAAGCCATCACACACCTGCAACTTGGACAATTACAATGTATGTGTGGATAGAACAGCTGGGAACAGAGGGTCTCCAGTTCAACAGGGGCTGAGGGACAAGGGTGGCTGGGTGCTTATTTCTTAATCTTTTACCCTTTGGAATACCTTTGTTTTTCTTTCTTCCTTTCTTTCTTTTTTTGTTTTTTTGAGACAGGGTTTTTCTGTAACTTTGGAACCTGTCCTGGAACTAGCTCTTGTAGACCAGGCTGGCCTCAAACTCACGAGATCTGCCTGCCTCTGCCTCCCGAGTGCTGGGATTAAAGGCTATTTTTCTTTCTTAAACAGCAACAACAACAACAAGGTAAGTCTGGTATAGTGGTGGCACAGATCTTTAATTCCAGCACTTGGGAGGTAGAGGCAGGTGGATCTCTGTGAGTTCGAGGCCAGCCTGGTCTACATAGTGAGACCCTGTCTCAAAAAACAACAGACAAAAATCTCAAGGTAAGTTTTCTCTCTCTCTCTCTCTCTCTCTCTCTTTCTTTCTTTTTTTGTTCTTTGAGACATGGTTTCTCTGTGTATCTCTGCCTGTCCTGGAACTTTCTCTGTAGACCAGGCTGGCCTTCTGCTTTCCAAGGCTGGATTGTGTACTCCAGGTTTGCTGGCCCAAAAGTTTCCAGCTGATTCTCCTGTCTCTCTCCCATCTCAACAAAGGAGTGCTGTGGTTACAGATGTGTGCCACCACATCTGGCTTTGTACATGTGTTCCAGGGATCCAAGCCCAGATTGCCAGGCTGCATGGCATGTGCTTTTTCACACAGAGCCATCCTGCCAGCCCTTAAGATTTTGATGGTTATTTTTTTTTTTTTTTTTTGGTTTTTCGAGACAGGGTTTCTCTGTGGCTTTGGAGCCTGTCCTGGAACTAGCTCTGTAGACCAGGCTGGTCTCGAACTCACAGAGATCCGCCTGCCTCTGCCTCCCGAGTGCTGGGATTAAAGGCGTGCGCCACCACCGCCCGGCTTGGTTATTTATTTTTTTTTTTTTTGATGGTTTTGACAGCTTCTTGCTGCGTAGCCCAGGTTAGCTTTGAGCTTATGATCCCGCCTGCCTCTGCCCCTCAAGTGCTAGGGCTATGCCACGGTGCCTGGCACAGTTTGGAGTTGTTTTCCATGTATGTTTCAAATCAAATCAGAATTGACCACGAGGGAAGCAGAGGGGAAAAGAAGGCGAGACCCAGAGAGGTGAGAGGAGAGAGGAGAGAGGAGAGAGGAGAGAGGAGAGGAGAGAAGAGAGAGAGAGAGGAGAGAGAGAGGGGAGGAGAGAAGAGAGAGAGAGGAGAGAGAGAGAGAGGAGTGAGAGGGGAGAGGGTAGAGAGGAGAGAGAGAGGGGAGAGGGTAGAGAGAGGAGAGGGGAGAGGGGAGAGAGGAGAGACAGAGAGAGAGAGAGAGACAGAGAGAGAGAGAGAGAGAGAGAGAGGGGAGAGGGGAGAGGGGAGGAGAGAGGTGAGAGGAGAGAGGCACTAGTGAAGTGGGCAAGGCACACGGAGGTCCCGTGGGGAATGCTCAGAGCAGGGCTCGCAGTGGAATAGGGACACAGTGGCAGAGCTAGGAGGATGAGAGCAACCTTGGCCAGGACACCTCGGCAGTGAGTGACGGTCATCAAGGGAAGGAGCCCAGCCCTCCAGGTTCACAAGAGCTGTGTCTCAAATTGCCAGACTTTGCGTGTCTTCACAGCTGATCAAAGAGCATCCCCACCCCTCCGAAGGGCCCTCTGCTCCCTTCAGGGGAAGCCGCAGGTTTGGGACCTGAGACTGAATTTTCTAGAAGCACTGCCCACCCCACCCCTTTGGTGTAATGGTAAATAGGAGAGTCCCCCGGTTCAGGACTCCTACGAACCACAGGCTGCAGCCCCTGGTACTCACCAGATTAGGGTGAGGTTGACCTCAGTGCTGGGAGGGAAGTTCTCCAGCTGGATCAGGACCGTGAACAGTTGGGGACCCAGGAAGTTGACCAGGGCAATGACTCCAGGAGGCAGGTACTGCAGCACCAGGAAAAGGGACTCCTGTCGGGAGCAGGAGGGGTGGTCAGGGGTCTGCGGGCGCAGGGCCTTGGCCTGAGCCTCAGTTTTTTCGTCTGCAAAGTGGGATCACCTGTCTCCTCTCACGGTTCAAAACAGGAAAGCAAGAAAGCAAACCATAAAGAGAGGAAAATATGGGGTCTAGAGAGATGGCTCAGAGGTTAGGAGCACTGGCTGCTCTTCCTGAGTTCAATTCCCAGCACTCACACGGCAGCTCACAACTGTCTTTAACCCCAGTTCCAGGGGATCTAACACCCTCATACTTTTTCATACATACAGGCCAAATATCAATGCACATAAATAAGTTAATTGAAAAGGCATAATAAACAGATCTTTTTAAAAAAGGAAGGACTATACTGCCCCACACCTCCTTGTTGTCCTGTGAGTACTTGGTGGCCCAGAAGATGGCGCTGATGGCTCCAACCACTAGAAGTGCAATGAGGACATTGGTACGCAGGTGGGTGAGCAGGTGGCAGGCCTTCTGGGTGCGGGTCTGCTGTTGAGCCAGCTCCAGGCGGCGGCCCTCTTCCAGCTCCACCTGAGGGCAGAGGGGAGGGGCCCTGAAGCATTTCACACACACACACACACACACATCCCTACCTTTTGTAGCTGGGCTTTTTTACACTGTGTGTGTGTGTGTGTGTTTATGCCATGGTGCACACATGGAAGTCATAGCACAACCTGTAGGATCCAGAGAGAAACTGCAAGTCGGGGGGCTTCAGAACAGGGCCATCTACCTGAAAAGCCGTCCTGCCAACCCCTTGTCTTGTCTCACAATCTTGACTGGCCTGGCACTTATAAAAACTGTAGCTTAGATTAGTGACGAACTCATGGCAATCCTTCTGCCTCAGCTTCCTGAGTGCTAGGGTCACAGACATATACATCATATCTAGACATATTTACATATTTATCTGTTTTCTGTCAGGGTCTCACTATGTATCCTTGACTGACCTAGAGCTTCTCAAGTAATTCAGGCTGACCTTGAATTCACAGTGATCCCCCTGCCTCCACCTCCCAAGTGGAAGGATTACCACTAGGCCTGGCTCACACATTCTTACAGCATTTGCATGTTCTCCTACACAGCTGGTTCACACAGTCATCTGACCACGCCTGTTCACGCTTGCATGCCCCTCACCCGCCACTTTCATCACAACACACACAGACACGCACACACAGACACACGCACACATACATACACAGATACGCACACACAGACACACACAGACACGCGCACAGAGACACACGCATACATACATACACAGATACGCACACACAGACACACGCACACATACATACACAGATACGCACACACAGACACACACAGACAAGCGCACAGAGACAACGCACACACACATACACAGATACACGCACACACACAGACACACATACACAGAGACACACGCACACATACATACACAGATATGCACACACAGACATGCGCGCACACACACACACACTCTGCCTCCCACACACCTTCAGTTCATTGCTGATTTCATGTTTCTTGATGGTGGCAGCTTCCCACACCCGGATGCAGAAGTCCCAAGATGAGAAGACTTTGGCGCTGAGGGGTGCCCTGTATCCCTGGCCCAGGAGTGGCTGCTGTGGCAGTCCCTGTACCATCCTGGGGGACGGAAGAAGGATTGCTGTGGGAGTTCCTCCACTCGCCACCCTTGGCTGTGGCTTGGCTGGGATTCAGGCCTCAGAAAGCTGGTGCAGGGATCCCTGTAGCTCGGCACCCCCCTCGTAGTACGGGAGGAGGACTGGGGGCCAGGTGAGCCTTGTTGCACAGGGATCTATCTGTCTGCCAACTTTGCCCCAGGAAGGATGGCCAAGGATGGAGGCCTGTAGGAGACGTGGGGTCTTTGCTCACCGCTGCAGTGTCCCACAGAAGCAGAGGAGCAGGCAAGCCATTGGAGTGAGGAGGTAGGCCAGGCGGATGCTGTATGCTGAGTTGCGCTCTGGCTCTGCCCGGTAGGCACCATAGAAGAGATAGGTGTTGTTGAAGGCCTGGGGACACAGCGAGGGCGTGTGAACGCAGGTTGGGCCCTGTTCTGAGTGCTTGTCCTACAAGGAAGGACAAGATCTCCCTATGTAGCCCAGGCTGGCCTTGAGCATGTGATCCTCCTGCCTCAGCCTCCCAAGTGTTGTGTTTGCAGGTATTTACCACTGTGCCTGTATCCTTACTTTACAGGCACTAAAAGAAGCTAGGTGACTTGCTCAGGTCATACAGATTTGGGTCCAGGACTTCAGTGGCCTCCAGGAATTGGTGTGTGTGTGTGTGTGTGTGTTTATTTATCTCAGAGGTCTGGACACTTTTCCCATCTGTCTCTTGCTCCAAGCTGCGCTCCATGGCTCATGGGCCCGTCACTATGTCTCTATATCTGGGCTGGCCGTTCTGTGTAAGCCAAAATGTCTCTTGAGGATCAGTCCTTTCTGACTAGCGTCTCCCAGATGCCCTAGCGCACAGCCACACAGACAACAGAGACCCCACTTACCCTGCCAGTTAAAATATTCCAAAGTGGGTTGTGGAACTTCGGAATGCCGCTCTGGGACAGGTGGCTGCCGGAGCACTGGAGGCCTGCTGAGTAGGAAGAGGGGACCAACAGAACAGGGTCCCCCAGACACACGTGACACTCAACCTTCCAACTCCACTGCATCTGCCTAACACTGAGGCTGTATGTGCAGAAGGTAGTGTCAAGCAGAGTCCAAGGCTAGCCCACGCAGCATGCCCAGGCTGAGGTGCACAGGGTCAGGGCAATCCCAACACTCACTCAGTTTCAAGGCAGGGCCTGGCTCAGGGTGGTGGAGCCAGACCAGGGGCAGCAGGACGAAACTGGCGGTCATCAGCAGGGTCAGCAGGTTGAGCAGCAGCAGGAAGCGAAGGAAAGTGAAGTATGACTGGATCCCGGTCCCGAAGAGGCCTATGGGAGAAAAGTCAGGAGGGACAGGCCCCCACATGGAGACTCCCAGGGCTGTGTGAAGTTGGGACCAGCCCATGGCAATGCAATGTTGGGGTTTCTGTGCAGTATCTCCAATAACACTCTGTGAGCTGACACCCATCAAGGTGTGCACGGGAGGAATTTGAGGGGACGTACAAGGATGGAGGGGCTGACTAGGGAGGTGGGATGTGAGGGTCGGTATGGGATCCTACCCCCAATCTCGTAGAGTGCTCCCTCCCAAAGCCCGAAGCCATGAGCCAGCTTCTGCGCTGCCTCCCTGAGGTGCTGTCGGGCCACCTGCCCTCTGCGACACCACCGCTGCCGGCAGGAGGTCTTCACCCCCTCGGGCTCCCGCAGTTCCCTAGGGGAGCGAGGTGATGGGGGCGCCCTTGAGTCATCCCTCTGACAGGTACATCCTCGGGGGCTGCCCCCACCCCCATCGCCGCTCAGCCAGAATCTACCGGATGAAGCGCCTGTCGGCCATGGCGTAGGGCAGCATCCGTACCGGCGCCCGGGAGGCGCACAGCCGCTCCACTTCTTCCTCCCACAGCTCCTCAGTTGCCGCAAGGGATCCAGGCCGTCGGGGGGCCGGTCCTGACTGCACCGACCACTGGCGGAACATCTCAGCGGGCGCGCGGGACAAACAAGCACGATCCTTGCTCGCAGGAGGATCGAGGGGCTCCGGGTGGTGAGCTTCGCCTTGGCCCTGCCTTGGCTCAAGTGAAAAGAAGCCCACTCCACCTCCGACCAAGGCCTAGGTCTCCCAGCCTGTCAAATGAGGATGAGGGTCTCCAGGATGAGAGAGAGGAAAGAGAGAGAGAGAGAGAGAGAGAGAAGCCGCCGGCAAAAGCGAAGGCTGACTGTCACAAACCTTAAACCTTAAGCTTTGGAAAAACACAATCCCTACTCTTTTTCATGTGTAGATTGACAGATAGGAAGTCACCCCTGTCCTGAACCCCAACAGCTCTTAGAATCCCCTTCCTGCAACACCCCAGCTCTGAATGTGCTAGGGCTCCTTCTGTGTGTTCTTTCTTGCTTAGCCTCCTGCTCTGGTCTTCTTAAGGGACCCAGAATAGGAGGCGTGGGTACATCTCCAACGGCGAGAAAAGGAGGAACCCCCAAACCACCCCAGAGGAAGCCGTAGACTCGGTCCAGCCCCGAGACCTCAATTCTTTCCCCTCTCACCGTCTTTTTCTCCACACATCAGGTAGCTCACGAAGGGGCAAGGGACCAAGCTCCCCAAGAAGCTCCCTCGTGCGACCAGCTCTGGACCAGACAGGGCTGTGAGGGAGTGGGGTGGGGTCACGTGGCAGTACCCCCCCTCCGGGGGCAGTGTCTCCTCCCTCCACCCACTCCCGCCTTCCCCGCAGTTTCCTCTGCCTCTGTGTGCACTTCCTGCACCGGAGCAGGAGGGCACAGGTGAGAGGTGCTTGGTGGGCACCGCGTGTACCTACCTGCTCCCTTCCCCTCCCCTTCGCGCCCAGTCCTAGAGGAACCGTTATCTGCCGTCTGCAGTCGCCACGGAGAGCAGAGAGCGTGATAATGACATGTGAAGGGCCCCACAACACCCAGCTGCTGGCTCTCTAGAACCTGGCCTTATTTCTTTTCTTTTTTGTTATTCCAAGGCAGGGTCTCTTTACATCGTTAGGATTGTCCTGAAACTCACCGCGTAGACCAGGCTGGCCTTGAACTCACAGAGGTACCTGCCCAAGGCTGGGGTTAAAGGCCTGCACTCTTACTCCCGGCTGGGAGTATTTCTGAACTTGCTGCTCTCACGGCAGGCACTGCCCTCCCTTTATGGTATGCTCTGGCGCCAAGCCCAGCTTAAGTGCTCAGGAAGCGACTCTGAGCCGTCACCGACTAGACCTTGAGGAGTCTTGGCCAGTTCCCAGTTCTGAGAGCTCCAGCCTCTCCTCCCTGTTCACCTCCTTTAAGGCCTTCTCATCTTAGCTCTGGATTCCCTGGGCCTCCCAGCGTCCCTAAGCAGTGGCTCTGTTATTCCACAAAGTTCATGCAGGAAGGCTCCCCAGGAAATGGCTTTCAAGCTGGGCCAGAAGCCGTGCAAGATTCAGTGTTCAGTGCAAGGGGGAGCTAAGGACGGTAGAGTCTGCAGGCCAGGATGCCCCACCCAGCCCCACAGGGACAGTTGCTGAGAATTGTCACTACCCCTTCCACTCCCCAGATCAACCAGACCCTTTTATATCAGGCGTCACCACATCACTGTACCCCACACGCTTTTGTGGGGGCAGGGGCTCATTTTCCGTTTTATTTCCTTCTCATAATCACCCTGCCTGTGATGGGGGAAGGGGCTCTATGGAGCATTCTGGTGGCCAAGTGCCCTGTTCCAGCCGGTGACACCGGGAGGCTGGTGGAACTTTCGCAGCCTCAATTTCCTCGTCTGTGAAATAGAAAGGCTAGCATTTGGGACGGAGGGTACCGGAAGCGGCTTGAACTCTAGCTTCAGAAATAGACACCACGCCCAGGGCAAAGGAGGCGGTAACCCCTTTCCTCAGCCGGAGATGGGGAGCAGTGAACCGAGGCTTGGAGGAGGGGATTACCAATCCCTCGTGGAGTGGCTGAGGACTGGTAAGTAACCTTGGGACGTGAGTGGGCTTGGAAATACCACCCATTTAGAAACTTGGAGAAACCGAGTCCTACAAAAATTAGGGGCTCCACCTAGGGATCTTATCTATCCAAATACTCGGCCGCGCCCACTTTGCTCAGACTTCAGGGTGGAGTCCGAAGCTGGCGAGCACTGGGCACTGTTTTGGATGGGCGGGACCTACTCGCAGGCGGGAGCAGGTCATGTGACTTGCTGGGCCCGCTGCCACGTGGGCGGGTGGTGGGGCTACCTCCAGCTGCCAGCCTGGGAACCTTCAAAGGTTGCCCCCTGGACCTTAATTACTGTCTGTTAATGACGTCTGCCGGTCGAGCCGAGACTGCGCGGTTGCCCGCGGCGGGTACGCGCACAGGTGAGCCACTTGGGGGAGCGGGGCTCCTCCGGTCCAGCTGGGCGCCTGGACCCGGGTGCAGGGTCACAGTTCGGCTGCGGGGGCGGCTGCCCCCGCCGGTGTGTGTGTGTGACACCTTGGCTGCGGGTTCCTGGGAGCTGCGGCTGCCGGCCTCTCCCGGACTGGCTCAGGGCACAGGATGGAACTGCGTCCCGGAACTGCGCGCACCTGGCCGGCCCCGGGCGGGACTGAAGACCCGAGGCCCGAGCAGATCCGGACTCTGGGCCTGGAGCCTCAGAGAACTTCCAGCAACTTGTGGAGAAGAGGTGTGGGGTGGCCTGGGGTGGCTTGAGCCTGAGAAGTCTTGTGGCCAGGAAGGGGACCGGGAAACTAAGCGGGCACCACCTTGCCTGGCTGCTTTCCATTCGGGCGGTGCCATCCCTTGACTGGCTCCAGGCTGGAGCAGCGCAGGCGGGGGCGTGCCTGGCGTGAATCGGGGTTTCGTGGGGACTCTCGGCCGTCGGGGGAGCTCTCCGAAAACTGCGAGTTCCCTAAGTGAAGACGGAGAGGGTTTGCTGACAGAGCTGAGCCTGCCTTCTGGTGGGGGAGATCCTGCGGGAGTCAGGGGATTGGTTACTCTTTCCGCCGCGCCCTCCCTTAGGGCCTTAGGTCAGGAGGACAATGAGCCCCTTACAACGCTCTGGTTACTATTGTGCCCGGTGACAGAGCCGGACAAAGGGCGCTTGTGTGGGCTCAGCTCCCTCCTCCAGCTTTACGCTGCGTTGGGAATGTAGGGAGGCACTGCACTCTCCCGTGGGAGCGTCCAGATCCGAGCGTTGGGGGTGGGCTTCAAAGTGTCCTGTGTGTGGAGTGGGCGGTGCTAGGGGCAGGGCTTTGCGGCTGCCGGGCAGCGCTTCCTGCGCAAAAGAGCACTTTGGGGTCATAGGGCGGGCACAGGGAAGTCCTCTAAACTTCCCAGCCTCTTCTCTGAGAGAGTTGAAGCCCTAGGGCCACTCCTGAGAACTGACCTGTAGGGGTAGTGTTCACAGACCTCTCCCTTTTCCCCGGGACTAGTGACATCTAGGAAGCCAATGGGGGAAATGCGCCTCACCCTTCCTTCCTGTTTGCTTTCCTTCCCCATAGCCGGTTACTGGTGAGAATGCCATTTGGGGCCATTTGTTTAACCAAGTGTTTAGCTGTCGATGGGGGGCAGGGTGGAGATTCCTGTAGTGAGTAAGTGTGTGTGTGTGTGTGTGTGTGTGTGTGTGTGTGTGACTTAAGTATGGGCCCCCAGGGAACGGGTGCCAGGCATTGAAAGCTGGTTTTGTTTCAACAGATGGCCTGTTTGGGTTCCCATAGGCTGCATCTAGTCTCTGAGCTCCCTTAGGGCTGCAGCTGGGCTGAGGGTGTACCACAGCCATGGCTCAGCCACTGACTTTAGTCCTCAATGTCCCAGAGACCACGGGGGATGAAGAGTAAGTACCCTGGTGCTGGTGGTCTGGGATGATTCACCCCGTCTGATGTGAAGTCTTCTGGGAGTGGGGGAGGACAGGAGCATGGGTTCCCACACGCCCCCCTCCCCGGCAGCCTGGAACCCAGCCCCTATGAAGAGAGCGAAGTGCACGACTCCTTCCACCGGCTCATTCAAGAGCAGAGTCTTCTGGTCGCCGAGGAGGGGCTGGAGCTGCTGCCCCTGGCTCCAGGTGAGCTCAGCCCTGCACTGTGACCTGGTGTGGGCAGGACCTGGGACTATCTGCCCTACATGTTACAGGCCCGGGTGAGGCAGCTGCAGTGTCTCCGTCCTTCCTAGACAGAGGTTACCAGACCCTCCCGAGGCCTGAAGGTGCCCCCACCCACAGCACGGCCACTCTCCGCATCTTGGCCAGCATGCCTAGTCGTACCATTGGTGAGTGGGACCCTCTGTCCTTGCTCTGACTTTGACGCCAGCCTAGGTGTCTGAGCCTAGTTCCTCTGGGCTCCCAGCCTCCCTGTGGCTGGGGCCTGGAGCTCCGCACAGCCCTGTGACACACTCAGCCCAGCTGGATTCTAAACATAACGGCGTTTGTCATGGGGTAAAAATAGGCTCTTGGGGCCAGACAATGGCACATGCCTTTAATCCCAGCACTCAGGAGGCAGAGGAGGTGGATCTCTGAGTTTGAGGCCAGCCTGGTCTACGGAGTTCTAGGACAGCCAGGTTACACAGAGAAACTATCTCAAAAACAAACAAACAAAGGCTCTTGGGTTTCTGGTAAAGGCATTTTCCCCAGCCCTGGGAAAGGCTAAAGGACAGGGAGGCCTGGTGCTAAGAACTGTCCAGAGGGATGTGAGGCCGGTCCAGCCTCTGCCATCTGCTACCCTGCCACCTGTTTTTCAAGGTCGCAGCCGCGGGGCCATCATCTCCGAGTACTACAACCGCACAGTGAGGCTGCGGCGCAGGAGTAGCCGGCCCCTGCTGGGGAACATGGTGCACTCTGCCCGGCCCAGCCTTCGCCTGTATGACCTGGAGCTGGACCACACCATCTTGGAGGAGGATGGTAAGTGAACGACCTAGCCTGCTACCTGAGGGCTGTATTAGGCCAATGCTCTACCACCCGTCTGTGACTCCAGCCCTTGCTGAGTGAAGACAGGGTCAAGTCCTGCCCATAGGCCTTGAATTCAGACCCTCCTGCTTCTGAAGGTCATTTATGTTTTGATTCGGAGTTAGGGAACTTCCCCCCCTGGGCTGGCCTGCCTGCCTGTTTTGTGGGGCCGGAAGTGTGGCAACAGGTTTCTTTTCCTGTTGTGATAAATTGCTGTGCCAGAAGCAGCATAACAGAGCCAGGGCTTCCTCAGCTCACAGTTCGCAC